GGTGCAGGTGGCCACGGGGACGCTGGAGCTGTGGGTAACCACAAACCCCACCGGGAGATGCTGCAGAGGCCAGGTTCAAGCAGCGAGGCTGCAGGCTGGGTTGGAGCCCTGCCTGCTCACCCTGCTGCCCATCAAACCCTTTCTCCCCTGGGTTTGCAGCTTGTGGAGGTGCCCGCACATGCTGGGAAGGGAAAAAGGCTGTTAGTAGCATCATGCAGGGAGAAGTTAACACGATTTGGCAGCTGGGGGCACGCCACCCTGCAGACCCCAGCCCGGTGTCCCTCAGGCTCCGGCAGAAAAGTGGCTTTGGCAGAAAGCTGCCGTGGTCCTGCTCAAACCCCTGGTGGAGAAGCGGGGCACGGTTTGGGTAGCCCCAAGCCCCCGGGCTCAGGAGGGTCCCTCCAGGCTGCGACACCAGCAAGAGACAAAAGTTCAGCCCAGGAGGACTTTATTGGCACAGCAAAGCGTGACGGAGAGCTTGGTCCCTGGGGGGACACGCAGTGGGGTTTCCGAGCAGCCGCAGAGCAGCGCAGGTGTTGTGGTTGGCAAACAGAGCAGCTCCCTCTTGCAGACGAGGCTCCGTGCACCCCTCCTTGCTCGGAGCATCATCACGGTGCCACGACGGGGATGTCACTTCTTGTCACTTCTTCCTCCTCTTCCTGGGCCTGCTGCTGGGCTTGCCCCTACAGGGGCACTCCCTGGGAGACACAGACCTCGGGGGGCTGGCGGGGGGCTCAGGGGCAGGGGGAGATGCTGCAGGACCGGGGGTGGTCTCGTCCCCCTGCAGGACGCTGGAGGGGAACAGCTCCAGCAGGTCGGAGGGGAGCGTCGGCCAGTCTGGGTTTTGGGGGTCCTGCGAGGGGTTGGGCACGGCCGGGGGGCTGCAGCACGGCTGCAGAATTGTCCCCACGGCGGAGGCGAGGGCACCCAGGGAACGGGACATGGACTGCACGCCCCGGGACAGGGCTGCCAGGTGCTTGTTGGACCTGCAGTGAGCCCGCAGCAAGCAGGAGGCGACCCGCAGGAGCTCGGCGACCTGCTGCGTGTGTGACCTGGCCCAGGAGCCGAAATCTTCCTGCGGGGAGGCCTGGGAAGTCCTGGGGAGAGGCGTGGTGTCCCCACGGGTCCCACGAGGTGATGCCGAGCCTTCCTCCACTTCTTCATCCCTCTGCTCGAGGGACGTGTCCCCTCCCCGGCCGGGACACATCTCCCCAGGAGGCTGAGGCAGGAGGCTGAGGCTTGGGGTGCTGTCATCTTCAGATGGGGCGTCCCGATGGGGAGCAGAGGTACCTGCCGTGGGGACGGGGGCTGAAGGGAGCAGGAGAGGGGCGTCAGGAGGTGCTGCCAGGCTGCTCTGGTGAGGGGAGCTGGAGGGGTGCTGCGTACCGTGGGGGGAGACGCAAGGAGCGGGGCGGGAGGCAGCTCATCCCCAGGAAACCGCAAGCTCCAGCCCTGGGGAGCTCAGCTGTGGAAGCCCACGGCTTGCCAAGAAGGACACAGCCCAGGTCTGAATGGCATCAGCCCTGACAGCAGCAAGGGGATGGAGCGGAAAACCCCACAAATGTCGCTTGTTCTCCCCCCATTTGCAGGAGGGATGCTGACACCTGACTGCTCCTGGCTCCATCTCTGCACACACCATGGATGCAACGGCCTCTGCCGTTCCCAAAGCACCACATCCCGCCTGGAGAGCTCGGGGAACACCTGGGGGAACCCACCTGCGGCCAGCCCGGGTGTCCCTGGAAGCCCTTCACCCTGCCGGTCAGATATGCCATCCCAAGGCAGCAAACAGAGGGGAAATCACTGCCCCAGGTCGCCCTGAGCAGCCCATGATGAGCAAGGCCAAATGGGATGGAGCCAGCAGGGCCCGGGGACAGACGGGACACCTGCACATGCCACAGCCCCATGAGGGTGCCAAGGTGACCCAGTCCTCCCCACGTCAGCCTCCCTGTGAGCCTCTGCTCCGTGTGCCACACATCCAGGTGCCACAAACCTCCCTTAGCCCATGGCACGGCCCGGTGCCAGCCCTCCCACCACAACTGCATCCAGGGGCCGGCAGCACGCCCCAACAGCAAGAGTCCAGAAGGAGACTTGAAACCCAAGCAGAACACCGCCTCCTGCAGGGTTTTGACCTCCAGCCCCGTTTCCAGCCTCCCCCCGGCCTCCCCACGTCCTCACCTGCGTGCCCCTCGACGCGCTCGGCCAGCGCCTGCAGCCTGGCGCGGCACTCGGCGAAGTCCCCGTGCTGCGCTCGGCCCCCGGCCGCCGGTGGCCGCAGCCGCTGCAGCTCCCGCAGCGCCTCCCTGACGAAGGGCTGCATGTCCATCACCTCCTGCTCCGTGGCGTACAGCCTCATCTTCTCCACCAGCCGCTCGCCCGCCTCCATCCGCCGCAGCACGCCCTCCACGCGCCGCAGCTCCCCCGCCAGCTCCCGCCGGCCCTGCTCCCGCCGCCGCTCCACCAGCCCCAGCAGCTCGGCCTCCTCGCGCCGCACCAGCCGCACCAGCTGCTCCACGCGCTGCCGGATCAGCTCCCGCGTCTCGCCGCTCGCCGCCTCCAGCCGGGCGGCCTCCTCCTGCAGCGCCGCGCGCGACGCCTCGAAGCCGCCCCGCCGGCGCGCCAGCTCCCGCCCGGCGGCCGCCAGCTCCTCCTGCCGCCGCTGGATCTCGGCGCCGATGTCGCAGTGCTGCCCGGCGTGCTGCGTGTCCAGCAGGGCGCAGATGCAGCACACCGGCTTCTCGCACTTCTTGCAGTAGATGCTGCAGGTGGAGCAGGGGGTTAGGGCACGGAGCAGGGTGAAGAGGGGACTTTGCAAGAACTGCTCCATGGGGGTGTTGGAGCATCGTGCCCATAGCCATTTGGGGGATTCCTTACCCCCAAAACGCCCCCAGGCTGGTCCAGCACCACCACCCACACCCCTTCCTCCTGCCCAAACCAGCCGCCTTCCTCCTGTGCTCCAGCAGCCTCGTGCCCTGCCCTCCCCTGCCCCATCACCACCTTCCCACCAAACCTCCCCCCGGTCCCCAGAGCTCACCCTCCCACCCATCTCGGGGACCCGGTGCCAACGGGGACAGCGGAGGGCCACCAACGAGCTTGGTGACATGAACCCAAGCGTGCCAAACCTACCTTAGGGTCTGGTTCTTGTGGGTGGGGTTGGAGCAGGCCAAGCTGCCGGTCCTCCTGGTGCCCTGGAGGAAATCCTTCAGTGCCCCCGCCCTGATGTCCGTCACCTTCCTGGCCTCGTGGCTCTCCCGCTTGAGGTAGCGCTGGTGGGCCTCGAAGCAGGTGGTGCAGAGGAACTCCTCGCACTCGGAGCACCAGTACTCGCCCTCCCTCCTGCAGTTGTCGCAGAGCAGCTCGGCCCCGCCGGCGATCCTGCGGTAGACGCGCAGCCTGGCCTGCAGGCTGGCGAAGAGCACGTTGTCCACCTCGGGGATGCCGTTGGGCTGCGGGATGGGCTCCTGGCACACGGGGCACTGCCCCACCGGCTTCTTCTCGCTCAGGCAGCCCAGGCACAGGCTGTGCAGGCAGGTGAGGAGCTTCAGGCTGGGCGATTCCTGCCGGCAGCCCTCGCACAGGACGAACTGGAAATCCTCCTCTTCCTCCTGCTGCTGCTGCTGCTGCTGCTGCTGCTGCTGCTTGGGGAGGGAGGAGGAGGGAAGAGGGAAGGGCGCTGAGCGCTCTGCCAGCTTCACAAACCGCAGCTGGAGGAAGGAGGAGCGTGGTGCTTCCCGCTTCCCTCTGGCCATGCCCCGAGGCTTGTGTGCAAGGGGACCCCACGGGGAGCAGGAAACACAGCCTCCAGCCCCCAAACCCAGCCTCCAGCCCCCAAACCCAGCCTCCAGCCCCCAAACCAGGTCCGTGGAGGCACACAATGAAACACCCTGGATCCTGCCAGAGCACAGCACTTCCCACCACCCCCAGCATCCCCCTCCCCAGCCTCCTTCCCCCCAGCCCTGCTCCCCTCTTGCCCCCTTCCCAGCTCTTCTGTCTCCCGTCCCGGCCTCCCAGCCGAGGCTGATGTCCTCCCTCTCCTCGTTAGCCTCTCCACCCCGTGGCCTCCAGCATCCTCCCTTCCTCTCCATCCCCGGCAGCATCCCGACATTGCCCAGGGGCTCACTTGGTCGGGGCTGGCCATGGTGGAGTGAGGGACCCCCAGCTCGCCACCGAGCCTCCCGTTGGCTTCTGCTCCTTCTGCTCCTTCTTTCTGCTCCTTCAGCCCACTTTCGATTTCTCCTGCGCTGGAGCCAGGCTCCACCTTCGAGGTGGGCAGGCCGGCAGCGCAGAGCCCTCTGCTGATGGCTGGCAGGAAGGGCTCTGCCACCAAAGGGGCTTTTCCTGGGGGACAGGGGGCCTGGAGGGGACGTGGAGCTCTGCAGAGCATCTCCATGGCCCTCTTTGTCCTGGGGGGGGCTGTGCCCTGCTTCCCATCCATCCCATCCAACACCCAGCAGTGTGCTGGGAGCAGCCGCTGGCAGCTATGGGACTGCCACCAAGGGGGGGACACCACCAAGGAGGGGACCACCACCAACAGGGAACGACCTCCGAAGAGGGGATGACCCCCAAAGAGGGGATATTTGCCCGCCATGTCCCCAAAATGTAGCCCAAGGAAGGAATAATGAGGCCAATCGAGCCTTTAGCTGGATGGGGAGCCCCCCAGTCTGCTTGGTGCCACCCAGCCCCAAGCTTTGAGGAAGAGATTTAGCAGGTAGTTTGGTGTGAAATGTCTCGGTTTTTGATGCCACCAGTCAGCCTCATCCTGCTGGTCCTGCAAAATGTTCCAGGGCTGGCTGAGGCTGCCCGGAGTCTGAAATATTGGGTGCTGGAGGGGAGCTGAGCATCCCCGGAGAGACTCTTGGTAGGGCTTGGGGTGTTTGCGTCGTGAGATGGAGCCCACGGCACCCCCATGCAGCACCCTCCACGGGCATCAGCTCCCCTGGGGGTGCAGCAGGGTGGGCTGAGGAGCACAGCTGGCCCAAATCCTGCCTGCAGAATTCATCAGCTGCCCCCAGACCAGCTTTATTGTCCGCCCGGAGGTGATAGAAGCTTACAAAATAAGGAAGCTTACAAAATAAATAGGTATCTGTGTACGCCTATATACAGTGCACACCCCCCCTGCAGACAGACCTCACGGCACGCATGCAAAGAAGCACGTCGAAGCACAATTAGCGCGGTCACTTAACACAGGACCTGGCTGCCTCCAGGCTGGGCATTCCCCAAAACGCCCCCAAACTCAGCCCCAAACCCGGCCGCAGCGTCCCCGAGCTGGGGCACCGACTGGTTCCTGCCCAGTAGCGTGGGGTGAGAACAAGGATAAGGGCTGGCAGCAGAGCTCACCGAGCAGGTGAAGCTTTTGCTGCCTCAGTTTCCCCGCTCGGGTCTTCTCCTGCCTCCTGCCAGCTCCCCGGGGAGGGCAGCAGGGCCTCCAGGGCGCTCCCCCAAAACTTTGGGGTCCTGCTTTCCGCCCCGACCAAGCCACGCGCACGCCGCCACGCTCTATCTGCGCTGCTTCATCGCCTTGAAGAGCTCCTCCAGCTTCAGGGCGAGGTGCAGGTCGCCCCTCACCTGCAGCCGCCCGCTCATGTAGGCGCTCAGGGGGCGCAGCTCGCCCAGGACCAGGTCCTGCAGGTCCTTCTCCGACAGCTCCAGGACGACGTCGGGGCTGCCCTGGGGGACGCCGCGGCCAGCCCGCCCGCTGCCTGCAGGGGGGAGAAGTGGAGAGGTTTGGGATCCAGCCTTGCCCGCTGGCATTTTCCCCATCATTTCACAGGGACCGAGTCTGGGCCACGTGGCAGACAAGGGGCTGGCAGGGGGGATTTGGAGGCAGCAGTCCTTGCTGAAGACAAATTTCTCCTGCGCTGCTCCACTGATGTCCTGTTCCAGCGGTCAGCCTCCCAGCCCTGTCCCGCTTTGGCCGTGGCCACCAGAAAAACCACCGGTGGTGCCCGTGGGGGATGGATGAGGGGATGCCTGTGTGGCTGTGGTGCTCCCCACACATGTCCCCCTCGGGGCCGGTGGCAGACAAGAGCCACCAGCCCCTGATCCATCCCACTCGGCCAGCCACGAGGAGACCTGGCTGCCGGTTTTCCACCGGTGCTCTCTTTCTGAAGGAAAACCCACGTGTTTAACCCAAACCAGAGGCCACTTCGCACTTCCAAGGAGCACGAACCCCCTCGGGGAGGCTCCAGAAACCCTCCCCAAATGCACCGCACGCCCCCGAGGAGCGGTGACCTGAGGAGAGGTCGATGAAGTAGGAGCTGCGTGCGCCGCCGGGCAGGGCGATGTCCACCTGGAAGGATGCTCCCACCTGGCCCACCAGGGCCTCGCAGAGGACGGGCTCCACCGCCGCCAGCAGCTCGTCCGCGCTTGGCGTCCTCCGGGCGAGGTGGGGAGCGCCGGCAGGCTCCACCTCGCTCACCGTCTCCACGCTGTCTGCTGGGGGCAGAGGGGCACAGGAGGGGACACTGGGTGGCGAGCTCTGCTGGTCCCCAGGGAGCAGAGAACCCCATTTATCCAGAGGATTTCCAGCTCAGCGGGAGGAGGAGAACAGCCTTTTGCCCATTCCATTTCCCACCGAGCGGGTGGGAAATGTTCCCAAAAGGCTTTTCCTGGGCACAGATTGGTTTGGGGTTTCCAAGAAATGGGTCAGCGTGCCGCCTCCTCCTCCCGCCCCCGTTGGTTCCAGTTTCCCTTCTCGTGCTGCTCCTCCCAGAGCCGAAACACCCGAAGAAATGGAACAGGCAGTCCAACAGCAACTGTGGGCTGCAGCTTTTCAGTATTAGGAATAAGAAGGGGCCTGAAGAGACACGCCTGTCCTCATACCTCCTGCCTGTCTTCGCCCTATGACTCAAAGCACAGGGAGACAAAACCTCCCCATGGCTCCCCCAGCTTGCCTTCTGTTCCCTCCAGGCTCCCCGCGCCCCATCCCAGCTCCCGCAGACCCTCTCCTCCTCTCCCCAGCCCCTTCTCATCACAACGGGGCACGCAGCGGGGACACCCCAAGGAAAAAAGAGGAGCTCCCGTCCTCCTCACCTGCCTCGGGGGCGGTGGGCACGCTGCTGGCCAGCGCCAGGGTGGTGCCGAGGAGGTGGGCAGCCAGCTGCTGCGCGGTGCCGTCCAGCCCGGGCACCGGGGGCACGGTGGCCGGAGGTCCCAGGGGGGTCTCACGGGGGGGCTGCAGCACAGCCTCCATGGTCAGCTCCACGCGGTCCACCTCCAGGCCCCAGGACTTGGTCATGTCGTTGATGTCCAGCTGCAGATCCGGGAAGAAGGGAAGGGAGCGGGGAGACCAGCTACGGCAGCATCCCGCAGCTCTTTTGTGCTCCTGCTACCCCTGGTTTTGGGCTTGGGGTGGTGGAGCAGGCTTGCCAGGCCACCTCCTGCAGTCTGGCCGCTCTCACACACAGCCCTGCTCCTCCAGGGGCTCTCCTGGCCCCCAGGAGCTGGGACGAGGACGGCGCTGGTGGGTTCTCTTTCCGTGGCTCCCTCCCAGGCTGCTCCCCCGGTCACCACGGGCTGGCACAGGGCTCCACCAGACCACCCCAGAGACCCCAAAGTTGCCACCGTATCACTCCACCCCCCTTTTAGATCCTATTCTGTAGATGTTTAACCCAAAAACTCTCGCCCTGCCCCATGCAGGGCAGCAGACACTGCCCTTCCACCCTGCTTCCTTCCCCAAAATCCTTTCCCCTTGGCACCCCACACGTTCCGGCCCCATAAAACCCACGGGCTGCCCTCACCAGCAGCTGCTCCCCGATGCGCAGCCTCTCGGCGTGGATCTCCCTCAGGCTCTTCTTGCCCAGCGCCTTGGTCATGGCGTTCTGCGCCGTCATGCGCGTGGCCGCCACGAGGTCCTTCACCACCAGCACGGACAGCACCGGGTCCCACACGCGGAACTGGACGTCGGCACCCATGGAGATCACCGCCCCGTCCCTGGAGGTCAGCTGGGAGAAGGGACTCAGGATCTCTCCCCTTCCTCACCCCACAGCCCAGCCTGAGAGCCTGAGAGCCAGGAACCGGCTCTAGATCCTTTTAATGGGAGGGTGGTAAGGAACAAACCCAACCCAAACGGTGATATTTGGGCTGATCTGAATATCAAAGCCAGCTTCCAGCTGTTATCAGGAGACGTTGGGATAGGGGTTGATGTCTTGGCGATGTTCAACGTGCGTTGAACAAGGCGTGCAAGGTCAAGGGGAGCTTTCCAGCCCCAGGCAGGGGGATCCTGGGTGGGGATCCCCACGATTCCCCCCATGAGGGTGGAGAAAACGAACGCTGCGGGCAGCACAATGTCAAAACCCATCCTCTCCGGGAGGCTCGGGGGTGTCTGGAGGGCAGCTCACCTTGCAGGGGGGCACGTTGAAGGCCCTGGTCCTCAGGTCCACGCGCTGCCAGTGGTCGATGAAGGGCAGCAGCAGGACCACGCCGGGTCCCTGTGGTGCCCGGATGCGGCCCAGGCGGAAAATGATCATTCGCTCGTAGGCGGGCACGATCTGGGAAGGGAAAACGTGGGCCAGGGCAAAAGGACAACCCCGGGCCGTGCCGGGAATTAGTTGTGCACCCCGCAGGGGATGGGTCCCCGCCACGCTCCTTACCTTCAAGGCGAACCAGCCCGAGATGGGGAAGGTGACGACCATCAGCAGGAAGACCAGGGAGGTGATGATGCCGTGGCAGATCCAGGCCAGCCAGCCCTGGGAGGACTCTGGGGGGGGCAGCAGGGGATGTGCACCCGCTCCCACACCCCCTTCCCCACCAGCACGGCCCAGCCGTGCCTCTCCCCACACCCCAGGGGAGGCAGCAGCGTGAGGGCAGCCAGCCAGAGCGACACCCTACAGAAAAACCCCAATATATGGGAAGGCAGCACCTCCCCTCTAAGCTCACCTGCACCGTTCCCAGCCGGTGCCAGGGGGTCCTGCTTGGCCCCAAAGGAGAAGAAGCCCTTCTGGGCACCGTAGAGCCCGATGCTGGACTGCTGGAAGCGGTCGAAGTCCCCCAGGGGCAGAGCCTGGTACCCCGAGCGGCTGAACATCGCGCGGCGGGGCGGAGAGGCAGCGAGAAAAACAAACCAGAAACCCCAAACAGCAGCCCTGCTGCCGCGCCGCTGGGCGCCTGCTCAAATAAAGCAATTTTCGCTCTGTTTTCCTAGCCGGGGCCCCAGCCGGGCTGGGGGCCGGGGATTTGCCATCCTCCCGGCGACCCCCAGGCCGCGGCGAGGATGAGGATGCTGGCGGCGAGGAAGGAGGCAGCTCCCGGCGCTTCCTGGTCCGCACGTCATGTGGCTGCTGACGGCACCGCACCGAAAGGCTCCGGGCTGGGTGAGCTTTTCCGGGGGGGCCCTGCTCGGGATCTGCTCCGGCAGCCGCGGGGAGGAGCGGGTCCTCCACCGAGCTCACACCTCGGGGGGGTGCAGAGGGTCCCCCGACCCCGCAGGGAGCCCTGACCCTATAAAAACGGAGCAGAGAGGATTTTTCCCAGCAGCTCCTGCTCCGGCGCGGCCTTCCCATGCTGCCCAAACGCCGCTCCTCCAGCTCGGCAGCCGGCAAAGGGAGGTGGGGACCCCGCGGAGAGCGGCGCTGAGAGCAACGGGGGCGCTTTTAAGCCCCCCTGGCTGAATTGGGGCCGGGGGTGCAGCCCTAAAGGCAGCTGGCAGCCAGACAGGCGCAGGGATCCTACAAAGCAGCTGAGCCCTCCGATCCCATAGTGCCGGCATCCCCCAGGTACCAACATCCCCCATAACAGCACCCCCCGGGTACCAGCGTTCCCCAAACCTGCACCCCCCGTAACAACACCCCCCCTACACCCGGCATTTCCCCCAAAACCAGCACCCCAAAGTGCGGTGCGGGGCCAGGGGGTTGGCGGGGGCGGGTGGTCCACGCGTGGGTGGGATATGGGGGACCCCAGGGGTGACCCCACTGCCTCCCCCAGCAGCCTGCCCCCCCCTTGGCACTGTGCCCCCCTCCCGCCATCCTTCCTTCCTCCCCCAGCTCCTCCTCCTCCTCCCCCGGCTGCCCGAAGAAACGAAAGTTTGAGCCCTCAGCCGGCCCCCCCCGCCACCCGCATGCCTGGCAGCACCGAACCCCCCCGGCCCTCTGGGACCCCCTGACGGTAAGTGGGTGTCTGGGGGGGTCCTCACTGCTTTGCAGGGGGCCGAAGGGCTGGGGGGGCACAGCGGGGACCCCCCCATGCAAAGGGAGCTGCAGGAGCTGGGGGAAAGGGGGGGGCACAACCAGGGTGCTGGATGGCTCCGTGGGGTGGGTAAAGGGGTAAAGGGGGGGGAATACGGGGGGGAGCACCGTATCCACTTATGGGATTCACTGGTGGGCTGGGGAAGGCTGTGGGGGACTTCTGGGGACAGGGCTGGTTGGCACAAAGAGGTTCAATCCCCCCCCCCCACCGCCAATTCCCCTCCGACTTCCAAAAGCTGGAGAAGCAAAAGTGAAAGAAAAATGGCTCTGAGCACACGATCGGATCTTCCCTCCCCCAAATCCCTGCCTGACCCCCCCTGCTCCTCTCCCTCCCGCAGCCGGCCCCGCTGCCTCCACGGAGCCTTCAGCCCCCATGGAGCCGGCACCCCCCCGGCCACAAGAGCAGGAGGAAGAGGAGGATTTCCAGTTCGTCCTGTGCGAGGGCTGCCGGCAGGAATCGCCCAGCCTGAAGCTCCTCACCTGCCTGCACAGCCTGTGCCTGGGCTGCCTGAGCGAGAAGAAGCCGGTGGGGCAGTGCCCCGTGTGCCAGGAGCCCATCCCGCAGCCCAACGGCATCCCCGAGGTGGACAACGTGCTCTTCGCCAGCCTGCAGGCCAGGCTGCGCGTCTACCGCAGGATCGTCAGCGGGGCACTGAGCTGCAGCCGCTGCCGCAGGGAGCCGGCGGCCGTCTGGTGCTCCGAGTGCGAGGAGTTCCTCTGCCCCGGCTGCTTTGAGGACCACCAGTGGTTCTTCAAGAAGCGGAGCCACGAGGCCAGGAAGGTGGAGGAGCTGCGGGCCGAGTCGGCGCATCGCTTCCTGGAGGGCACCAAGAAGTCCTGCACCCTCTTCTGCTCCAGTCACGGCCACACCGAGCAGGGCCACATCACCAGGTCAGCGTGGGGACGCGTCCACGGGGCTGTCCCCAAGCTGGGGGGCTCGGGGCTGCACCAGGCTGCAGGGCTGGGACCACGCTTGGGGCTTGGGGGGGACCCGAAAGCTCACCCAGTCCCTGGAGGGCTGGGGAGGGACCCCAAGGCTCACCCTGGTGTGCCACCTCCTGGAGCAGGCTGCCCAAAGCCCCCTCCGACTTTCCAGGGATGGGGCACCCCCAGCTCCTGCGGGCAACATTTGGAGAGCCTTTGGGTCAGTTGTAACACCCCAGAGCCGCAGCAGGGTGCGGTGTGGGGTGCCCAAAGCATCCCCCAGCTTGTGCCTCAGTTTCCCCTCTCGCTAAAACCCCGCTGAGCACCCCCAGCTGAAGCTCGCTCCCTCCCCTGGCAGCATCTACTGCAAGAAGTGCGAGAAGGCCGCTGTGCTGCTCGTGCGCCCTGCTGGACGCCCAGCACTCGCCTTTCTACTGCGACATCCGCGCCGAGATCCAGCGGCGGCAGGAGGAGCTGGCGGCCGCCGGGCGGGAGCTGGCACGCCGGCGGGGCGGCTTCGAGGCGTCGCGCGCGGCGCTGCAGGAGGAGGCCGCCCGGCTGGAGGCGGCGAGCGGCGAGACGCGGGAGCTGATCCGGCAGCGCGTGGAGCAGCTGGTGCGGCTGGTGCGGCGCGAGGAGGCTGAGCTGCTGGGGCTGGTGGAGCGGCGGCGGGAGCAGGGCCGGCGGGAGCTGGCGGGGGAGCTGCGGCGCGTGGAGGGCGTGCTGCGGCGGATGGAGGCGGGCGAGCGGCTGGTGGAGAAGATGAGGCTGTACGCCACGGAGCAGGAGGTGATGGACATGCAGCCCTTCGTCAGGGAGGCGCTGCGGGAGCTGCAGCGGCTGCGGCCACCGGTGGCCGGGGGCCGAGCGCAGCACGGGGACTTCGCCGAGTGCCGCGCCAGGCTGCAGGCGCTGGCCGAGCGCGTCGAGGCGCACGCAGGTGAGGATTTAGGGCCAGGGATGGAAGCAGACGGTCGTCGCCCGCCTCTCTGCCCAAAGGCACTCTGGCAGGGCGCTCGGCCATCCCAAAGGGAAGGTCTGGGGGCAGAGCCGCGGCCTCTGGGAGGGTGCCTGCAGGGTCCGTGCCGCAGCGCTGCTCGCTCTGTTGCAGGTACCTCTTCCCAGGCTGTCCCCGTGGTCGAGGTGGCCCTGGAGAATGACCAGGTGAGAAAGCCACAACTCATCCTGGTGCCACCTGGGGAGGGTTCCTGCTGTCAGCCAGGGCTTGCCACCTCCACCTTTGCAAGCCTTCCCCATCCTATATCACCCATTTCTTAGCCAACAAGAAAAAAGAAACACAGGGATTTCCCCCATGAAGCTGCTTTGTTGCTGTCACAGTCACTCCCCTGTCCCCAGCCAGCAGCGCCTGTCCCTAACCCTGCAAACAAGCAGCTCCAGCACCAGCCTTGGCCAGTGCCATGCCTCAGTTTCCCCCCCCACAGTTCCCTCCCCCTGCTCAGGGCCACCCCAGTCCCGCAGAGAGCTGTGTGCCCCCCAGGCCCCCTAACCACCGCTCCTCGCTCTCTTTGCAGCAAGAGGAGCCCACCCAGCGTGGGAGCCCAGGCATCGTGCCCACCTTCACCATCAGCCTCGGGGACATGCAGGTGAGTGTGGTAAGGGGCACCCCGGGGGGATGGGACCCTCTGGAGACCCGGTGGGGCCACCCCGGCACCCTACATCCCCCCTGCTCTGTCCCCTGCAGCTCCCCACTGCCACCGCACGGTGCAAGCGCTGGCGGCCCCAGGTGGAAAGGGGCAGCCAGGCGTCACCCAAGGTGCTGAAGCTGGAGCACAACGCCACGGCGGATCCCAGTGAGCCCAGTTCAACCCAGCGGGACAGCAGGGGAGAGCCCAGCACCTCCGCCACCAGCCACAACTGCAGCAGCGTCCCCAAGGCTGGCAGGAGCCACGCTGATGATGCAGGTGGGAAGCAGGGATGGAGTCCCCCACCCCAAATTTATGGGGGTTTCCTCCTTTTTTCTCAGCCTCTGGGCACCCCGGTGTACTCAGGGCCTTGGCCAAACCCCACTGGGGCAGAGAAGGGGAAGCAGGACCCCATGGGGTGGGGATGGGTGCAGCCCCCTGTCCTGCCTTCAACATCCAAAAACCAAGCCCGGGGCATGGCACGGGCAAGTAATTAGATTAATTAGGAGCTCTGGCTGCCTGGCTTCACCCTCCAAACTTCAGCCCCATCCCGTTCCTCCTGCAGAAGACAACAGCATCATCATCAGCTCAGAGGACAGCGAGGAGGACACGGTGGTGAGCGTGACGCCGGACCTGCCTCCCTGCTGAGCCACCACTGTCCCCGCGTCCTCCTGCCCACGCTAAGGACCAGACCGCCTCTCCTTGTCCCCTCTGAAGCAGCCAGGGTCACCTCCCCAGCTCTGCGAGGCAGCAAAGCCCGCTTGGATTCGCTCGGAGGTGGGGTGCCACGTGGCAGCATCCCCAAATTGACCTCAAGGGGCATCCCGATGGCTTCTTCCTTCCCGTGGCAAACCAGCTCTGGGCAGAGGGACAGCTGTCTGGCTCGGACTCTTCCCCCGGAAAGAATTAAAGGATTAAAGGATTTGGGAGCCTGAAACCATCCTTGATATCACCCCCAGCAGTTCTTCACCAGGGGGCACGGAGTCCCCAAGAGGGGCAGATATGGGGATGGAGGATGGGGATGGAGGATGGGGATGGAGGATGGAGGATGGGGATGGAGGGTACCAACTCATTTATTTTTTTTTCCCCTAAGCTTCAGATAACACAACCCTCACCCCGCTGCAGGGAGAGCTGCCCAGACCCCCAGTCCCATAGTGCTGCTTTCCCTAGGAGATTCGTGCCGTAGCCCCTTCGCCGCCCCGTGCCGAGGGGATTAGCGCAGGCTTCCCTGGGAAGGTCATCCGCAGCACAAAACCCATTTTTATACAAAAATCATGTTTTTAAGTTGAATGTAGCACCCCCTCCCCCATGCAGGGGCTGTTAGATGGGCCATGGGATCCCTGCCAGGATCTCCCCACCAGCAACATTGGCAGGGGGGCCCTTTGGAAATGGATTTGGGGCCAGGGGTGGGTTTGCAGAGCTGGCTGAATGAGGGGTTCCCAGCCTTTTTTATTTTTTCTTTTGTATGAGTTAATCGTGCAGAAACTCTTATTATTCTTCAATAAAGCTGTTTCCAGACCAAATCCCAGCCTGCTGCTGACTTCCTGATTCATTTTCCTTTGCTTTTTTCCTTGCTTTTCCAATCCACCTCTAACAGGGGAAAAAAAGTGGGGCAAAAAATCCCTCCCTGGACCCCATACCCACACCCTGCTGCTCGGAGACCCATCTCCCCCCGCTGGGAGCACTTGGATTTGCTCCCATGCTCATATATGTTCACCTGGCCATGTCTCCAATGCTCCAGGTGGGGATATTTTGGAAATTACCCCAGTGAGGGGGCAGAGAGGCAGCGTGCAGGGAGCCACATGCATGGCACAGGACTGTCCCTGGGGGAAAGGGAGCAAAATCAAGGTTGGAGCCTCCTGAGCGCATCGCCCTTCCCGTAGGGAACCTGGCACCAGGGATGTCCGCCTCGTGCAGGGATGGGATTTGAGCCTGGAGCCACCAAGCCTCCTCCTGGGCCCATTCAGTCCCCTTTCCCCCCAGAGGCCAAGCCTCTAGAGGTCCTTTGGCACCACGAAGTGTCTCAGCCACACTGACACCCCAAATTTAGGCACCAGCTGCACCCACACGAGCAACTGAAATCCTCGTGAAATAAAGGATGCCGGACAGCGAGCTGCCTCTGCCCCTCCTTTTCCCTCTCCCCTAGGGGAACTGGGGACACGCAGGGCTCTCCAGCGGTGTCACCCAGCCCGTGCGCGACGCGCAGTGCGCCACAGCCACCGCCAGGTGTCCCCTTTGGATAGGCACACGCACACCCCGATTGTGCTTTTTGCACAAGCGTGTGCAGGCACCCAGGCGTGCACCATCTCACCACCCCTCGGCACCCCCCCTGAGCCCCCACAGGCTCCTGCTGCAGCTGGGGAGCTGGCACCTCCCGTGCCCCGGGGATTCTCCGCGGTCTAATCCGGGGTTGTGCGCGGGGAGCAGGCGCTTGGCTGCGAGGGGCGCTGGCCCCATCTGTTTGCTGTCACTTGGCCTCATCAAAGTCCTGTAAAACAATAGCGAAGTCAGCGGGCTGCGGAGCCAGATTAGCCGTCTCGTTGCCCTGAGCTGCCATAAACCCCATCCAGGCGGCAAGGAGAGGGCTCCGGCGGCGTTGGTCGGCCCTGGAGGAAGGGGCTGCAGCTGGGGTACCCCAGAAGGGAGGGGGCTCCCTCCTCCAGCAGGGCTTTCTGTGCACGGCCAGAAATTTTCTCTGTGGGCTGGGGGAGTCACTAACAGCAGCAGCAGCCTCCCCACGGCAGCCCCGGGGGCTGCAGAGACCCCAGCAGGGTGTGGGGATAAGCTCCTCACGATACGTTCCCAAATTTCTGAGCCATTCCCCCAACTTAGCCTTTTTTTGCAGAGGTGCTTTCTTCACAAGCTGGCACCCAGAAGAGACGGACTTCAGGCACTGGCAGACCCAGGGTGAAGAGACGACAGCAAAAACCCTTCCTGCAGGGGTAGAAACATCCCGACGTGGAGATCCCAAACCCCTCCTGGGCCTCCCACCCAGATCCCCCTTCAAGGCCAAAGTAGTAAGAAGAAAGATTTTTTATTTTTTTTTCCTGAAGAGCAATAAATAACTCCCCAGAATTAAGCGAACCTCCTGAAATGATATATAATACGCTGCTTGCCTGATTGGCTGTTATTAATAATGCATTGCTCAATCTAAACCATTCATAAAATGACTCCCTGCTAGCCCTTAGCAAAGTGCTTTGGGACTGGCAGGGAAAAAAAAAAAAAAGGCAAGAAGGAGCAGCATAAATCCTTTCTGTTTATGAAAATGGATTTCTTCCCCCAACACTCATGCAAAACTAATTAGAGCCAAAGGGCCAGTTGCTCTGCATTTGATTACAGCCTGCAGGATCACTCAGGTTGGATGGCCTGGGTGGGGGGAGATGCGAGGCAGGGGAGGATGTGCCCCGGTGAGCCTGAGCAAGGTTAGCTGGGTTAGATTCCTAACAAAAATAGCTATTTGCTAACACCCAAGCAGGTTTGGATGCCAGGGTCGAGAGCAAGGATTGGGCAGTGAGGATTGTTAAATATTTGGAGGAAAGCTGAGGAAGGAACCCCACAACCTCCAGCCAGGCCCTGTCCCCAGGATGCTCCCGGCGCCGTGACCTGATGCACTCACCTGGTCTTGGAGGAGATGGGGTGAAGCTGGAGAACCCAGGAGGCCCTACCTGGAGGCTTGCTTCTCTCCTCCTTAAAGATCCAAGCCCCCTACCCAGCGTGGTGGGGAGGGCTGCTCCCCCAGGTGCTTCCAGGCTGCAGGTGGACATCCAGGGGTGGAAACCAGCAAGTCCCCACTGACCTCAGGGGGTCCTCCAGCCAGGGGCAGCACCAGCAGAGGGTCTGGCCCTCAGCTGAGCTTCTGCATGTTTAGGGGCATGCAGAAAGTTAGGGTGTGGGCAGGCTGATGGCTCTGCAGCCTGCTGTCATCCATCCATCCATCCATCCATCCATCCATCCATCCATCCATCCATCCATCCACGGACCCATCCATGAACTTCTCCATTCATCCATGTCCCCACCCATCCATGCACCCATCCATGCGCCCATCCCCGTCTCCATCCTCTGCTGTCCTCTCTTGGACCTTTCCCTCTCCCCAAGAGGCTGCCACAAAGCGCTGCTCTTACTCCCGTGGCTCTGCCCATGGGAAGCTGAGCCACAACCGGCCTCACAACCCCCCCACGCTGTGCCTGGTGAGGGTGGAACCCACGCCACGTGCTCTCGGCTGTGATGCCCTCCGCAGGGTCCTGGGGAAGGTTTGGTCCATGGGAGCAGGAGGAGGGATGCACCATGCACCCCGTCACACGCAGCCCGTCCTCTGACCCATTTCTAGCACAACGCACAGCCTCCGATGCTCCCGAAAAGCGGCCGGGAGAAGCACTGCCACCAGATCTAGGACACCTGGGTTTCTTCCTCGTGCATGATGAATGAAGGCGTCTCGGGGAGGGCTCAGCAAAGCACAACAGCGAGCAGCCGAGCCAGAAAGCAAGCGGTGTCTTTGTGCTGGCCGCGTCCTTGTGGCATTTTAACCTACTTTCGTGCTCCTGAAAGCATCGTTCCAGCCTTGCAGCCCTCAATCCCTACCCATTGAGGATCCATCCCACAGCCCCACAGCACGGGGTGGGACACGGGTTTGCATCCATCCCGTCTGGAGGTGCTGAGCCCCCCGGGGTGCTGCCCCGCCGGCTGCAGGACTCCCCTCCACAGGGCTCGGGAGCAGCTGACAGCCCGTGGGCGTTGAGCGAGTGAGCAGAACGGGAAAAAATGCCTGTAAAACCCTGCGATGCCGTAATTCCCCGAGCTGCAGCTTGCTAGTGCCGGGGAGAGTGTCACGGTGAGGGTGAGGGCATGCTTGGGCTAACAGCCAGCGGCGGGGATGGGAAGGCGGTGAGTCACGTCTCGGCCCCGCCACAGCCCAAGATGCTGAAGATGTTGAGCTCACAGATGCTGAAGATGTTGAGCTCACCGCCGCTCAAACCCAGCCCTTCCCCTCGGCCAGCGGCTCGGCTCCCTTGCTGCCCCCAAATCCGGCCGGCTGCGGTGACCCCAACCCCACCGTCAGCCCCAGGAGCCGCCGTGCGTATGGCACAAGCTGCATTTCTCTTTCTGAAAGCAGATTTTGGGGTCCTCCTGGGTAGCAGGAAGGAAAACGAGTAGTGGGGAGCATCTCTTCCAGCGATGCTAGGTGGGGGTGTCGATGGGACTGGGTGAAGACTGCCGTGATGGGACACATGGGGCTGGGCACTTTGGGGGTCTGGAGCCCTGCGAGGGCAGCGGTGCCTGAGGGTCAGGCTTGGTCCCTCTCTGCCCCTCCATCCACCGCCTCTGCTCCCCCCAGGGGAACATCCCCATCCCCATGGCTTCGGCAGACCCACGGTGCTGAGCTCAAGGGAGAGAGGACTGGGATTTTGCTGGGGGGGGGGGGGGGTGGCAAGACCCTACAGAGGGGCAGCCTGGACCCCAAGAACCAGGGGGCACTGGGAGGACTGGACTGAGCCATCCGGGACCAGGAACCCCCAGCAGAGCTCCTGGAGAGGCAGAGAGGGAGGGATGGAGGGTGGAGGGAGGGATGGAGGATGGAGGGAGGGATGGAGGGAGGCAGGAATCGATCCCACTAACAAAATCAATTATTTATCGTGTTTCTCACGGAGGGGCAGGGCCGGGAGAAGAGACCCCCACGTCGGGGGGGAGCTGCCCACCTGCAGGTTTAACGCTCTCCCCACCCAGGAGGTGGCTGCAGGAGGGAACCGCCCGCCATGGGACGGGCTGGGGGGGGGCTGGCAGCCCCTTGGGGGGGCGGCCGGGATGGGAAAATCCCCCCCGGCCCCCCAGCACCGGAGCCCGTGCAGAAGCGGTCCCCGAAGGGCCGAGGCGCCCCCGCTCCGTGCCGTGTCCCGATGGGGGGGGCTGGGAGGGGGGGACCCCGACGGCAAAGGGGGGAGCCGGGGGTGGGGGTCCGCATCCCGGCTGCCTCCGTGTGCGTTTTTTGGGGGGGGGGAGCTCGGCTCGCTGCTCGGCGGGGAGGGCGTTTCTGCGCGTTTCTTTGCGGGATTTTCGGGGGGCGCCGCTCGCCGCCCCCGGGGAAGGGGCTCTGGGGGCTGGCGAGGCGGCGGTGGGTGGGTGGTGGGATGGGAAAGGGGTGGCGAGGAGGGAGGGGGCGGCCGTGCGGAGGGGGAGGCTGGCAGAAATGCTAATTCCTCCCTCCTCTCTCGGCTCCGCAGCCCCAGTGCCCGCCCGGCCCCGCTCCGGTGCGCAGCTCAAGCCCGGCGAGGTGCGGGGGTGCGGGCGGTGTGTGTCCCACCCCCCTCCCCCCCGAAATCCCCCCCCCATCCTCGTCCCGTAACCCACGCCCCCCAAAATCTCCGCCGCGCCCCTCACCGCCGCCTCTGGGCGCCTCCGTGCCACGGGGCCGGGGCTGGGGAGGAGGATGCTGAGGAGCGGCAGCCGAGGGGAGAAGCGCTGCGCCTTGCTCACCGGCACTTAGGAGCGGGTAAGGTGCGGGGTTTGGGGCGGGGGGGGACGGGGAGAAGCCGGCGGGGGGTCTGGGGGGTGGAGGGGGACGCGGGGAGGAGGGAGAATTGGGAGGGGGAAAAGTAGGGGGAGAGGGAGAAGGGAGGGAGAAAAGTGAAGAGGAGGAGGGTGGGGGAAAGGAGAGAAAAAATAGAAAGGAATAACGGAAAAGGCAGAAATTACAAAAAAAAAAAAAAAAAAAAGGAAAATAAAAGAAAGAAAGAGAGGGGGAAGGAAACGAGGTTTGCGGGAAGAAGGAGCAGAAAGCTGGGAGGAGAAGGAGCGAGGGGGGAGGCTGCAAGGGGGGGCCGGGCACAGACAATGGGGCAGGGGCCGGGGAGGCGGCGGCGGGGAGCGGGCTGGGCGCCCACCGAGCCCCTGTGTCCCTCGGCAGGGCGAGATGGCCCCGGCGCTGTGGCTGGTGGCCCTGCTGGGCATGGCCCGGGCGTGCCCGGAGCCCTGCGCCTGTGTGGATAAGTACGCCCACCAGTTCGCCGACTGCGCCTACAAGGAGCTGCAGGTGGTGCCCACCGGGCTGCCCTCCAACGTGACCACCCTCAGCCTGTCGGCCAACAAGATCAGCTCGCTGCAGCGGCGCTCCTTCGTGGAGGTGACCCAGGTGACGTCCCTCTGGCTGGCGCACAACGAGATCCGCGCCATCGAGCCCGGCACCTTCGCCATCCTGGTGCAGCTGAAAAACCTCGACATCAGCCACAACCAGATCGTGGACTTCCCCTGGCAGGACCTCTACAACCTCAGCGCTCTCCAGCTGCTCAAGATGAACAATAACCACATGGCCGTGGTGCCCCGGGGGGCTTTCCACACCCTCAAGGACCTCCGCTCCCTGCGCATCAACAACAACAAGTTCAGCGCCCTGGCCGAGGGCATCTTCGACTCGCTCAGCTCCCTCTCCCACCTGCAGATCTACAACAACCCCTTCGACTGCTCCTGCAGGCTCCAGTGGCTGAAGAAGTGGATGGACAGCACGCTCATCTCCATCCCGGAGAAGGACTCCATCACTTGCAACCTCCCGGAGCAGCTCCGAGGGGTGCCGGTGGGGAAGATCCCAGACGTGCAGTGCACCCCGCCGTCCGTGCAGCTCACCTATTTCCCCAACCTGGACACCACGGAGCTCTTTGACGGCTTCACCCTGACGCTGCACTGTGCTGTGACGGGCACCCCACCACCCGAAGTGAGCTGGAAGATCCGCACCTCCAGCCAGACACTGGAGCTCAGCGGGAACCCGAAGGAGAGCGCGGGGAAGGACCTCCCCAAGCAGGACCCCGAGCGCTTCTTGGTCTTCAAGAACGGCACGTTGGTGATCCCTCACCTGAGCAAGCGGGAGGAAGGCACCTACACCTGCCTGGCCAGCAACGAGATGGGGAGCAACCAGACCTCAGTCAATGTGGCCGTGGCCGGCAGCCAGAAGTACCCGCTGCAGCCCGGGAGGGACCCGGCAGGGGGCAAAGCACAGCTGGGTGACAAGAAGCCGGGGGCCAAGGGAGCAAAGAACAGTGTGCTTACACCAGACGAGAGGAGCAAACCCCTCAGCCCCACCCGGCAGAGCCAACCATCCTTGGCGGCTGGGATGGAGCCCACGGGAGACGGGCAAGTCCCTTTCCAGCATCCTCCCTTTGAGAAGAAGTGTGGCTCCACACAGACCAGCAGGTACATTTCCAACCATGCCTTCAACCAGAGCGGCGACTTCAAGCAGCACACCTTCGACCTGGGCGTCATCGCCTTGGACGTGTCGGAGCGCGATGCCCGGGTGCAGCTGACACCCACCTACCTGCAGCCCGAGAAGGTCCACCTCAGGATGCTCTACCTGTGCCAGGAGAGCAGCCAGGGCCACGCCTTGGTGCAGTGGTCCAAGATTGAGGAAGGGGTGAACTCGTACTGGTTCCAGGGCTTGAACCCCGGCACCAACTACTCCGTGTGCCTCACCTACCTGGGCTGAGGACTGCCAAGTCCAAGTGGTCTTCACCACCAAGAAGGAGATCCCCTCGCTCATCATCATCGTGGTCGTGAGCATCTTCTTGCTGGTGCTGGCCACCCTGCCGCTGATGGGGGCCACCTGGTGCCACCTGCTCTCCAAGTACCACGGGAAGACCTACAAGCTGATCATGAAAGCCCAGAACCCGGACCAGATGGAGAAGCACATGGCCGCCGACTTCGACCCCCGCGCCTCCTACCTGGAGTCGGAGAAGAACTACAACCCCAGCGAGGTGGGCGAAGGCGACGCGGAGGAGGAGGATGAAGAGGAGGACGATGACGACGAAGGAGGCAGGCGGAGGACGAGGAGAGAGGCCGAAGGGGCCGTGGAGCTGGAGCGGGAGGAGAGCGTGGCCGCCAGCTCCATGGCGGAGTCGCAATCCAAAGCCAACGGCGAGGAGTTCGAGGTGCGCTCCGAGTACAGCGACAAGCTGCCGCTGGGCGCCGAGGCCGTCACCATCTCCCAGGAGATCAACGGGAATTACCGGCAGCGCCCCCGCTGAGTCCCCCCCCCATTCCCCTCCCCTCCCTCGGGTCCCCATCGCCCCCAGCATCCCCCTCCCCAACCCCTCCCGGCCCCGCTGCTTCTCCTCCGAGGAAGGAGCGAGGAGAGAGGGGAAAACCCTGGGTGCTGGTGGCGTGTCCTTCCTCCTCCTCTTCCTCCTCCGCCGGGCGGTGGCTCCCTGGGGCAGGGGCTCGGTGCCGGGGGCTCCGGCCGCGGGCAGGTGCCGCTCCCCCGATTTCGTTTGGCTGCAGCTCGGCGCTCCTCGCCGCCGCAGCGCAACGATTCCCCGGCCCCCTCCCGCCTCTGCCTCCCTCCTTCCCCTTATTTTGTGTCCCCTCGAAGGAAAAGAACGAAAAACAAGCGAACAAGCGAAAAAAAAAATAATAATAAAAAAAAAACAACGTCTGAAAGCAAACGCCCGATAGCCCCCAAAACCATTCCGCGGAGAGGAGCGGCTCCGCCGCGCGTTGGCTCAGCCCCGGCGGGTCCCCGCCGCTCCGCACCCCTCTCCCCGGTCCCCTCGGTCCCCCCCGGTCCACCCCAGAGCCCCCCGGAGCCCTCCTGTCCCCCCCGGTTTCCTCCCGCTTCCCTCCGGGGGCTCCCCGATGCCGACCCCGCCGCATGCCCGGGGCGGCTCCGTTCAGCACCCGGCGGCTCCGGACAGCTCCGAGCCCCCCCCCCGGCCCCGGGACTGCGAGGGGGGACACCCCCGGCCCCCCCCAGGAAGCCCCCCGGTCCCCCCTCCCCGGTGCCCCTCGATGTGTGTTGGGTAGAGTAGCGTTGTAGCAAGTGTCTGTGCCGTAGGCGCGCCCGTGCTGCCGGCGGGGGGCCGCTCGTGGGGTCTTTCCCCCCCCCCCTCCGGAGGGGGGTGTGGTGAGGGGCCGCTGCCGTCCCCCCCCAGGGAGCCCCCGGGGCTGGCGAGATCCGCGGGTGCCTTTCTGCGCCCTTCTGTCTGTGAAAGAGTCAATAAAAGGGATTGAAAGTGGAAACGCGTCCGTGCTTGGGCAGGGGGTGGGGGGCTGCAGCCGGGACCCCCCCCAGGGCCCCACACTCGGCCGAGGGGAGCCGGAGAGGGGTGAAAATATATCTGCACGAACAGATTCCTGCGTGCACGTAGTTACAATTCCCAGGCGCCCTAGGTGCAGATCCACCCGCTATATATATATATATATATACACACACACACCCCCGCCGCGTACGCTCCTTTATCCGTCCGTGCCGCGCACCCCCACAAATAACCTTGCCCCCGCACGCACGCCGGGTGCAGGCAGTCTGTGCACGCCATATAAACGTACCCCAAAGCATCATGTGCAGAAAAACATTGCAAAGCTCTCCCTACGCGCGCAACGCATGGAAATGCAAAGACAACGCTGTGCACACAGTTACACGCAGCCTCCATACCAATAGGTAGCCGAGCCACGCAGGACGCTCTCCTGGTATTTTTACAGGCATTCTGTATTTCGGCACACACCACCACACACGCTCAACAAATGTGCAAATCCACAGATGCCCACAGAGCCCGTGTTTTGCCCCCCGCACGCCGGGGAAGGCACGGCACCGGGTAGAGGCGCCCAGCGCTCCCGGATTTATGGGGGCTCTCGCCCCACGGGTGATTTAAACCCACGCTTCCAGGGCGAAGATTTAAGGCCGCCTTTGATTGCTTTTCTTATCTGGAGCTCCGCTTGCAGCCAGCCTCGCCCGTACGAAAAAGACCAGGGAGATGCACATGGAGGGGGGGGGAATAGGGAATAGGGGGGCGACCCCATAACCCCGCAGCCCCGATGCCGGCGGAGCGCCCACCCCTCCAGCCCCATCCGCAGCCCACCCCGCCGCCCCCAGCCTCTCCCTTCTCCATCCTCCGGAGCACGGCTTTCTATTTCAGGTCCTGGCTCCGCATCTTTCTCCTACGGCGCGGGGAGGGAGCGGGGAGAAGGCGGACAAAGCAAGGAGGGGGGCGGGCGGAGGGGTGCCCCCCCGCATCCCCCAAATCCTGTCGGCTCGAGGCTCCGCCACGGCAGCCCAGGTGTTTGCTGCAGCTTTGAAAAACACGTGCGAAAACACTTCCCCCCCCCCCCCCCCCCGTCACCGCAGACAAATCCCCTTCTGCGGATACACTTTAATTGAGTTTCATGCCCAGGAACACGCAAGGAATAAAAAAGAACAATCATTGCTGCCTCCCTTTAATTAGAGGGTAATAGATGGCCCCGCCCGGCGTGTCTGCAGGGGATCCGGCGGTGATGAGCACCTCCCGGTGCTGGATTGCTCCCCCCCCCGTTCCTTTTCGGGAGGGCGCTAATTAGCGCCAGGTGCCCACGGGCACAATTAGGGCGCGGGGAGGGGGCTCAGCATCCTGCTCCCCCCCGCTCCAAGTCTCGGGGTCGTTTCTCCAGGCTGGTGCTGGGCAGAAAGGGTTAAGGGGGGGGCACAGCAGGGCGGTTTGTCCCCTCCTAAAGCGTGAACCCTTCTGCTCCGGCCCTGCGTGGAGCGGGACGTGCCCACGGGTGACCGCGACCGGGCGCTCTCCTCGCCCCATCGTCGCAGGCCCACGGGGGTGGACGGATAGGGGACACCGCTGGCACCGTGCCCTTGGCCCCACAACAGTAGGACGAGGGGATCTCTTATCCCACAGCACAACAAAAGGGGGGAAGAGCCACGAGCAGCAGCTCCGAGCCTCCCTGCGCTCAGCCCATCTTTTTGGGGCAGGGGCGAGGAAAAAGTCCCGGGACGCCCCCAACCCCCTGAGATCTTGCACCACGTTCCCTCTAGTTTTTAACCCCGGGGGAGGGATGCTCTGCACCCTCAGCCCTCTGGGGCCGGGGGCTGCGGGACAGCCCCCCCGGCATGGGGCAGGGGGGGACGGACACGGGCCCGGGCTGCGGGGGGGAGGAGGGGCCGGCTGGTTGCGGTTTTTTTCTCTCTATTTTTTTTTTTTCCCTGCGATCCTCGGGAAGGCGAGAGCTGGAGCGGGTCGGTGCCATGGAAAACAAAAGGGCCCGGGGGACCGGGAGGGGGAGGAGAAGCCGAGGGGGGGGCCGAGGGAGCCGCAGCCGCCAGCACCGGAGCCGCGGAGGGAGAGCGAGGGGCGACCCCGTCCCCGGGAAGCCCACGGGGCCGGTGATGGGGCCGGGGGGGGCTTGAGGGACCGGGGGAATTTGGGGGGCCGGGGGGACCGGGGAGGCACGGGGGGGGCGTTGTGCACGGCTCTGGTATGCGCCAGCCCCGTAGCATCGGGTGTAGGGGAGGGACTTGGGGGGTGCCGGGGGCGCCCCAAAGGGATCCAGGACCCGGCCCCAACCCCCGGACTCTTCCCACCCCCCCACATACCCCCGTTACAGCCACCCCAGCCCGGTTTTTGCAAGTCGCCCCCCCCCCCTCGGGCTGTTGCGCAGGGTTTTGGTGCCGCCAACCCCTTTCCCCTCCCGCTGGAAGTGCCAGGGCTGGGGAAACAAAGGGGGTCCCGCTGCCAGCTCCCCGCAGAGCCGGGCTGTAACCTTTCCCGAGGGGGGGGCAGCCTGCACGCAGCCCCCGGCAAGGCGAGCGAGGAGTTCGCTCTGCCCTTGGCAGCCGAAAGCGTCGTAAAACCTTCCAGCAGCTCAGGACCCCGCGCTCTGCTGAGAAAAAGCAGTCGGGAAGCTGTTTTCCTTCTCTCCATGGAAAAAAACGTGGAGGCCGGGGGTTGGTTTGAGGGCTGGATGTGTGCCGAGAAGCCCGAAAGCCTGGTGCTTTGGGGGGAGAAGGGCTGAGGCTGGGGGGGGGGGAAAGGGCTGAAGTGCTCCGGAGAGGGAGAGATGGAGTGAACTCTGAACCCGGAGCTTGTACGGCGCGTCCAAGCCCAGGAGGGATGCAGGATTCCCAGAATAAGGAAGCGGCGTCCCGGGGCAGGGGGGACATCTTGGTGAGGAGCTGTGCGGGAAGGAAGCGTTTGGGGATCCCGGGGGTAGCCGAAAGCTCTCGGCGCAGCCATACCTTGCTCAGATTTGGGAATATTTCACCCATTCCTCGCTACCGCACCGGCAAGCCGCCGCGGAGCAGAGCAGGGCTGTTTCCTGTTAGCGCTTGGCGAGGAGCAGCAGAGCCCCAGCCCCACTGGCCCCAGCGAGCCAGGCCCCCCCCTTCACGCCCCCTGTCTCTGTCCTCAGGAGGAAGGATGAGGCCACTGCTGTGCTGCCTGGGCATCGCCGCGCTGCTGGGGCGCAGCCTGGCCTGCCCCAGCGCCTGCTCCTGCTCCGCCAAGAAGAACGGGCGGCTGCTGGCCGAGTGCGCCTACAAGGAGCTGCTGGAGGTGCCCCGGGGGCTGTCCCCCAACGTCTCCATCCTCACCCTGTCGGCCAACAGGATCGGCTGGCTGCGGCGGGGCGCCTTCGCCGAGGTGCCCGAGGTGCAGTCGCTGTGGCTGGGCTACAACCAGATCGGCGCCGTGGAGCCGGGGGCTTTCGCGCTCCTGGCGCAGCTGAAGAACCTGGACCTGAGCCACAACAAGATTACAGATTTCCCCTGGCAGGACCTCCGCAACCTCAGCGGCTTGCAGATCCTGAAGATGAACAACAACCGGCTGGCCGGGCTGCCCCGGGATGCCTTCCACGCCCTGAAGGACCTGCGCTCGCTGTGGCTGAACGACAACCAGCTCACCACGCTGGCCGAGGGCACCTTCGACAAGCTGCCCTCCCTGTCCCAGCTGCAGATCTTCAACAACCCCTTCAACTGCTCCTGCAAGGTCTTCTGGCTGAAGAGGTGGACCGAGAGCACCTCCGTCTCCATCACCAAGGGGGGAGCCACGCTGTGCGTGGCTCCGGGCAGGCTGAAGGGACGGGCGGTGACGGACATCCCCGAGCACCACTGCGTCGCCCCGTCCGTGCAGCTCACCTACCTCTCCAACCTGGACAACTCGGTCACGTACGACGGCCTCACCCTGACGCTGCACTGCAGCGTGGCGGGCAGCCCCCCGCCGGAGATCCGCTGGAAGATCCAGACCTCCAGCCGCGGCGTCGAGATCAACGGCCCCACCGTGGCGCGGGATGGGAACGCCAAGCAGAGCCAGGAGCGCTTCTTGGTCTTCAAGAACGGCACCATGGCCATCCCCAGGTTCAGCAAGGAGGATGAGGGCATCTACACCTGCCTCGCCGTCAACGATGTGGGCACGCGGGAGGTCTCGGTCAACGTGGCTTTGGCTGGGTCGGAAAATCCAGCCGAAGACCTGCTGCAGGATGACCCCCAGGCCAGCCAGCTCGGGGGCCAGAGCTGCTACAAGGGCGATGAAATGGATCCGTCCGGGGCCGGGGAAAAGCTGGTGATCGTGTACCACATGCCGAGGGAGTCCAAGAGCAAGGCTGGAGGTGCCGTGCCCCACGTCCAGCTGGGGACCCTCCTGCTGGCTTTGGGCATCGCGCTGAGCTGGTAAAGGGGGAGAAGGAAACGGTGCCCGGGGGGCTCCCCCCTCTTTCTGTATCATTTATCTTCACGTAGTGCCACGCGTTTGCTGAGCTTCTGGGAACTGCGGGCGGCTGGGAGTCCAAGGGGGCCTGGAGCCATCCCCTCCTCGATGGGGGCTTGAGAGCTTCAAATGGGCTCGGGGGAAATGTGACGTGGGGCAGCTCAGCACCATGCTGCTGCTTTCCAGGCACCCACATCTGCCACCAGCTCCCCTCCGAGACCAAAACGGGGCTGCAGGGGTGAAGCCCACCCCCCAGGGGGCAACCCCACAGCCTCAGAGCCCCTCCCCACGAGCCCTCCTCCACCCGCAGCCCCCGGGGTGGGCAGGGGACACAAAGGCCACGTCCCCACCCCGTCCAGGTGCTGGGTGTCAGCCAGGAGCACCCTTCCTGCCACCAGCCTCCCGTGGAGCACTGGGGGCTGTAGGGCTGGGCTGAGCAAGCAGGGAGCTGTGGTACGGGGTCCATGGGCCACAGGGCATGTGGCTTTAGGGGCAGAGCCAGTGAGGTGCTTCTGAGCGGGATAAATATGGTAGGAGAAGGTGTGGGGCACGTTGTGCCAGGTCAAGGGTGCAAATGAGGCCGTTTGGGGAGAAGCATTGCCATCCACTGCCCGCACCCCTGCGGGAACCTGGCTGGGGAAGGGAGCACCCGAGGTGCCCGTGCCCCCCTTGCATGGCAGGATCAGGCCCTGTCCCCTTCTCTGTGCCTTTCCCAGATGGGACACAGATGCTTTCCCCCCCTCCCTTTCACCGCTGAAGCCCACGGTCCAAACCACCCGGCTGGGCTGGACCCACCGGGCTGCGCTGCTCCGGCTCCAAGGCTTCAAAAGCAGGGGGGAAACTGAGACCAAAGAGACCCAAAGGAATAAAGAAAACTCCCCTGAAAGTGCTCTAGCAGCCCCGCTGGGACGTACACACCGTGCCCAGCACCCCAGGGTGCCGGGGACCCGCTGAGCACCTCCCTCTCCCCACCCCACCCCACGGCTGTCCTTCCTCGTGCCTTCTGCTAAGCGCTCGCCTGCGGGAGCTGTGCAGCCTCCCGCAGCCCTATAACCAAAGCTGTATGGCCAGCCGAGTACCAAGCACAATAAATGCCTTTTATAAGCCAGCCCCTGCCTGCTGCCTCTGCGCCCACCCAGCCCCGTGGCCCTGGGAGGGAGAACGGGTTCACGGGGTGCCCCGAATCGCCCGCCGGGGCAGGGAGGGGAAGGCAGGGACAGCCGAGCAGCTGAAAAGCAGCTGTGCCAGAGCCCGAGGCCTCTGCGCAGGCTCTGCAGCCCCGGATTTGGGTTCTTTTATGGCGGCTGGAACAGGGAGCACAGCCTGGGAGCAGCCCCCGGCCGCCGGCTTTTGATGCTAACGAGCAGCCGCAGATTTTTCCCATTACAGACAATAAAAAAAAAAAACACAGCACCACTCCAACCCCAGCGCTGGGAGGACAAGGGCTCGGCGGGGAGTTTCGGTTTCGTTTCATAGGACTCAACTTCTCTAATTCGGCCCTCTCCACGTCCCCGAGGTGGTCAAGGGCTGGAGGCCACCAAACGGTGCCAGGCTGGGCTGCCACCACCCCTCCCTGCTCTCCTCCAGGCCCGTGGCAGCGTGCCACTGCTGTCCCTCGTGTTTATAAAGGCCAATTCTGCTTTTTTCAGCCAGCCCAGCTCCCTCACCCACCTCGCAGGGGCTCAGGCAGGTGGCACCTAGAGGGGATGGTGGCCCTGGGGACGCGTGGGGACACAGCCAGACCCCAGCACCCACGGCTGTGCCGAGGCTGCGTGCGAGGCCGGGAGCTCACAGAGGCAAGAAACCACCACGAAGAGCTCAGCGCGCCCCCAGGGCACCCCGGTTATGCCAAAGGAGGGAAAAGAAAACAAACAAAGGAGAACGAAGCCACCTCCTGTCATCTCTCTCCTCCGTCCCTGCCAAGACAGCTCCGGGGAGCTGCAGGCTGCGTAAACACGCGCAGAAACCCTGCTCCACCCCTGGCCTGGAGCTGCGGAAGATTTCAGGGATTACCAAAGCCTTCCTCAAAGCCCCGGGAGCCCGGAGGCTGCTCCAGGGATGCACATCTCCTGGCCACACCGTCCCTGTCCCCACGTCCCCTCGGTTGTGCTGCAGCTGTTCTGAGGAGCAAGCCTCTTGCTCTGCTTTGGGTATTCCTAAGACAGAGGGGCACTGAGATCCGGTCCTGCTGAGCCCCCCAAAACCTAACCACGAAGCCTCAGCTCCGTGTAACCCCAGCCAACACAGCAGGGACAGCCCTGGTGGCCCTCCTGGCCACGTGTCCCCAGCTCTGCCCTCCCCTCACCCTTGGGAGGGACCCGGAGACCCAGCAGACAGCGAGCAGTGAGGAGGTACACGATTTATTCGCCTTCCCCAGCTCGGCACGGCTGAGGGGGGCATCAGACTGCTCCAGGGGCTCGCTCCCAGCTTGGGGGGACACACATCTCCCTTGGGGGTGCCCATGGAGCAGGACAGAGGGGTAGAGGAGGGGGAAACAGCCTGAGGAGAGCACGCCGGGCGATGGGAGCCCCAAACAAGAAGCTCTGCGACCTTCCAGCCCCAAAGGGAGCAGCAAGGGGTTTCAGCCTTCACAAAACTGGGGAAAAGAGGCTCAGAGCTGGACGGGAGAAGCTTTGGAGGGGTGGTGGGGACCTTCTGCAGAGGGCACTGAGGTGGGGGTGGCTCCTCGTGGTCACTCTGTGCCCCGAGATGGGGAGGAGGAGGTGTGGGTTCGGCTTAGAAGTGACCCCTAAGGGGCTTTGGAGATGCCCGGAGGGTTCAGCTTGGATCATCAACCCCTCTGCTCCCCCGTCAGGCTGGGAAGTGCCCCACGTGCCCTGGCTGTCTCATCGCCTCCGCACGGACCTAGAGCTAAAAAGCAGTGCTGTCACTGCTGGGGAGGGACGGGGGGGGCCAGCTCCTCCCAGCCCAGGAGGAGAGGCACGGGGAGACGAGGAGGGGACGGGAGGGACAGAGGAGGCAGGGGGCTTCTCCGGGGGGGAGGTCAGGGCTTGGGGGGGCTGAGCTGGGCACCGTTGGCCGTGGGATCACAGAGGGCGTTTTTTCGGCAGGCCAGCAGCGAGGGGTTATTGAGCAGGGTGTAAGCCAGCCACCAGCGTGCCCGGCTCTGCCTCAGCCGACCTCCTCCCGACGGCGCCTTCGTGCTCTGCATCAGCTGGATGCCTGGAAGGAGACAGCGGGTTGGGGAGGGGGCCCCCAGGCAGGGATGGGGCTGGTTGGGGGGCAGCGGGGGACCCACCTTCCTCCACTGTCCCCCGCTCGGGGCTGCGGGGTGCCCCGTGGCCGGGGCGGCTGGAGGAGCAGCAGGCAGAAGGCTCGCATCAGCGGGTGCGACTGGCTCACCTCCGTTTTCAGGTAGTGGCAGTACGCGTGGTAACCTGGGGGACACAGCCCGAAGGAAAGAGGGGTCAGGGGCCAGCACTGCCCGGCAGCATGTCCCCAGCACATCTCTGGGCACGAGGACACGAAGCCACCCCGGGTCCCCGTGGCTCCGGGTGATGGAGGAGCCCCCGCTGCGCTCCCTGGGGGTGGGAGAAGGGTCCCCGTGGTGCCGGACCTGGGTCGAAGGTCTCCACGCCGCGGTTGAGCAGGCTGATGTCCAGCTGGCAGAAGTGCACGGCGTTGTAGAGCGCGGAGATGAGCATCCTCCAGACCCCCGCCAGGACCCCCACCAGGACGTTGATGGGGAAGAGCAGGAAGGTGACGATGTAGAGAGCTCGCCTGCGGGTGGAGGAGGAGGAAAATAAAGGAGCAGAACGCCCCGGGACGGGAAACACGGCCCTTCCCTAAGGGGGGAACCTGCCAAAATAAGCCTCCCAGCCTTCCCTCCCTCCCTGGCAGGCCCTGTCCCCGTTGGAGATGTCTCCATCCCATGGAGAGGTGTGAACGCCCTCCTGCTGCCAGGCTGTTGAGGTTGGCCTCCAGCACACGCAAGGTCTCTGCTCCCCCTCGGAGGCTTCAGCAGGGGTCACAGCACGAGGCTGGGGGCTCGGGGTGGGGGGCACAGCTCCCGTGGGGGGGGGAACAGGGCCCAGATCCCATCAGGGCAGCAAGCTGGCCACGGCCCCTAGCCATAGCCTCCAAAGAACCCATTCTGTGCGCACAAAGCTGCTTCAAGACCCTGGAGGAGCCCTGCAGAGGTTGAACCAACCCCACAAGGGGTGCGTGCAAACCCAAAAGCAGCCGCCCTGGGCCCCGGGAGACCCCAGGCCCCCCTACCTGTTGGTCAGCTCTTTGCGCAGGGGATGGTGCTCCAGGAACTGGGAGTGAGCCGCCAGGTTCTGCGCCAGGACGGCACCCACCAGGGTCAGCCAGAAGGGCCTGGCCAGGAGAGAACGGGGAGCTTGGGGGCTGGAAACAAGGCTCCCGACCCCTCCAGCCGAGCAGGAGGAGCCCGAGGGGCAGCAAAATAAAAGGTAGCCCTTTATCCAAGCACCACAAAACTCATCGTGGCACCCCCGGGTGCTCACCACATGTTCTGCACCAGCCTGAAGAGGTGCGTGCTGGTGCCCGACTGCAGCGGGATGACGACGAGGAAGGTGAAGGCAGCCGAGCAGATGAAGAAAATCACTTGCTGGATGAGGAGCCCTGGGAGGGAGACGCGGGGAAAGAAGGCGTCACGGGGGAGGGAGGAGGGAGAAGTGCTCCTTGTTCCTGCTTCCAGCCCCGTTTCAGAGCACGCCTGTCGTTTTAATCCCATAATGAGCAGGCTCCTCGCCTGCCTCCCCCGCTCCCCGCACAATGCTCTGCGCGGGGTCTAATGATGGGTTCGGCCTTGCTCATCGCACCCTGCCTCACCCCCGCCGAGAGGAGCCGCCTCCGGGGCTGCCTCATCACTGAACCAGCCCCGAGCTGCGATTTCTAATCAGAGATCACGCCGGGAGCAGCGGCGGTGCCGAGCGGGAGAGGGGCTGCGCTGGGATTTCATGCCCTGGAAATTGGGTTCCGAGCTCAAGTCGTGTTCGTGGTGCTGCCATAGGATGTGGGCAGCCCAGCCAGGGATTCTCCTGGGGGATTTCGGGGTGTGCCCAAACCCCAGAGAGGTTTTGGGGTGTGCCCAAACCACGCTGGGTGCAGATGGATGGGGTTTCTGCCCCATTTCACACCCCGTGCCCACCCCTATATCAGATGTTGGGATGCGGTGCCTGGGACTGGAGGAGACAGACAGCCCCTCGCGCGAGATGCCGTGACAGCTTCGCGGATCAAAATATTTGGGCGCGAGCCAGGACGGCTTTCCCTCCCTCCCCCCGCTCCTTGAGCCCCCCCCTGTTTCTCCCCACCATTTGGTGCTCAGCCTGGCCCTCCCAGCCGAAGGACAGATTGCGTTGGGGGAACCACCAACAAAAGCCCTGGAGCTTTGCAAAATGGGACCAAAAAAAAAAAGAAAAAAGAAAAAAAAAGGGAGGGGGGTTGGAGCTGCTTAAACACGGGGTAACCTGTAGGGAAATGGGGCTCCACCACCTCCTCCTGCCCCACAGCCCCCCCGAAACATTTACCCAGGCAGGCAAAAGCCGTCTGGAAGCTGGCGAAGCTCATCCAGCAGACGATGGCTTGTCGGGAAGGGCGGAGGATGTGGGCTTTGTAGAAGACATCGAGCACGGCCCCTTGGTACAGCGCCTTCAGGTTGCTCCTGGAGGGCAGAGAGCAGCAGGGCTGGGCGGTGGGGATGAGGATGAGGACGCAAAGAGGGCGATTTGGGGAGCGCGGCGCCCTACCTGTGCATCACCAGCGTCCTCAGCAGCATGGCCATGGTCAGCAGGCAGCACAGCACCAGCGAGCACACGTAGCACACTGCGGGGAGGCGGCCGGGGGGCCGGTGTTACCCCAAAAGGGGTCTCAGGCACCACCCAGGGGGCATCAGGTGGGGTCAGGTTATGGTGCTGCGTCCCCCGAGCAGGGCACCGTGCCTCAGTTTCCCTCCTCAGCCTCTTGGCAATACAAGGATACCCTTGGAGGGCAAGGGTGTCTGAGCCTGGCAGGATGCTCAGAAGCTGGGGAGCAAGGGGAAAGCAAGATGGGAGCAGGGGATGTGCCAGGAGAGACGGGGAGGTCAGGAAAGCAGAGGTGGGGAGGAGGAGAGGGGCTCGGTGACTCCGGAAAGCCACAAAAAAGCCCTGGCGGAGGCCCCCTGCCAGCCCCCTGCCCCCTGCCCAGGGCTTTCAATTATCGGGTGCCCGCTCGGCAGCGGGGGGACGAGGGGCCATCTGCTCGATTCCAGCACATATCAAAGCCTGCCCGAGGAGCAGCATCTGCAGCGCGGTGGTTTTGGCAGGCAGCAGCTGCTCGGGGAGCCCTGGCACGGCACCAGGTCCGTGCACCCGCCTTCCACGTCTGCACAGCCCAGGCTGGGGCAGGGGCAGCTGGGCTGCGCCCCCTCCTCCGTGGTCCCCGTGCTCCTTCAACACAATAACCTGCTCCATCACCACCTGCTTCCACGGGCAGCTTGGGCTAGAGACCCCCTAAATTCAGAAGCCCTCCCCAGACCCCCCGTGGACGTGGCCACGCACCTTCCAGCGACCACAGGTAGTGCTTGACGGTGCTGAGCTCCTTCTCCATGTCCCCTGGCATGCCCGGGTTCTCCGAGGGCACCAGCCCGAACTGGACCAGCAGCACCACCACGTCCTTCGTCATCCCTGCCCGCACGATCTGGATGGTGGGGACGAAGGCCACCAGGAGCAGCAGGGCCACCTGCGGGGCAGCGGTGCCACGTGAGCCACCGGGTTAGCCTAAAAGCCTCACGGCGGGCTGAGCCCTGCAAGCACACGGCCGGGTAGCGAGGCTCAGCTCGAGTAATACCTCGAGGCACGCTAATACCAGCCCCAAAGCCACGGTGCCCCGAGGGAGCGTGGCAATGTGTCCCTTGCCCCATGAGGACATGGCCACGGGGCGCCGCGTGCCGCTGGGCCACCCCGGTCACCTGGTAGACAGCGACGACGGAGGTGGTTAGGGACAGGACGAGCTTCAGCGGGAGCTGGAAACCTGCGAGGCAGAAGCAGAGGGGTAAATGGGGGCCACCCAGCCCAGCCCAAGCCCCCCCTTTGGGTGGGGATTTCCCCCGGGCTGCCCCACGTGCCTGCAGGGCGTTAGAGGACAGGGGTTCCTTCCCGTGGCTCTTCCTACAGGCCCATAAAACCTCGTGCCCCTGCAGCAAGGAGCCCCAGGCTCCCCGCTCCGTCCCTGCCCAGCCCACCCGTGCCCCCTGGGGGTCCCCAGCTCCTCCTCCCCACCCCGAGCCTGCAACAGTTTGTGCGAGCCGAGGCGCCGGGCGGCAGCTGCTGCGGCACAGATGCTTTGGGGACGGAGCCAAGGAAGGCATTTGCTGTCCCCCGGGGGAGGCAGACTGTTTGCAGAGCGGCTGCTACAGCAAAGAGCGCATCCCACCTTCCTCGGGAGTGTAGATGTAGGAGCACAGATACGCCCGGACCCGGTGCAGGAGGCTCTCTTCTAGCTTGCTGGGGCTGGAGGAGGAAGGAGAAGGTGACAAACGCGGCTGGGGTGGCCCCAGACTGCAGGCAGGGCTGCGCTCTGGTCGTGCAGAGCTGCAGGAGCATGGTGTATGTGGTTTCTCTTTTCTTTTTTTGAACAGGGTCAGGAGGCTGTGCCATCCCCAGGCTCCCGGCGAGAAGCTGCTGCCCTTACCTCTCCTTCCTCGGCCGCTTGGCCAGGACAGCCCGTAGGTACTTCTTGTAGTAGCCTCGCCCTGAAACCTGAAGGAAAGCAGCTGTAAAAGCTGCCCAGTTCCCACCGGGTAGCCCAAAATGAGCTCCCGGGGTTATTTCAGTCCACGCTGGGGCCGGCGGCTCAGTTCTGAAGGTTTTCTCCTCTCCTTCACCCAACAAAGCCCGAGGTTTCCAAAAGGGCTGGGGATTATTGCTGCCTGCCAGGGAAACAAGGCGACCCCAGTCCGGCCTGAATGGGACGCATTGATGCCGTAAGCCTCTTGTACTAAGGAGTTTACTCCAAAGATGGATTTTCCCCTCTTCAAATCCAACAAGATAAACAGAGCCGCAACCCCTGTGTGCCCCGCTGCCGTCAGAGGGCCGCCAGGCTGCTGGGAGCCAAACTGGGAGCACTGGGAGCACCCCGATGCTCAGAGCCAGGCTGCGGGGCAGGAGAGCCACGAAGCAGCCCTGAAACCACACGGGGTCATCGAGGGGTTCCCCCGGGCTCCCACCACCCCCGGTCACCCCATGCATCTTCGTTACCTCCTTATCCAAGGTCTCCTCGTGCCCCGTGAAGCTCCTGATCAGCAGGGCTGGGTACCAGAGGCTTAAGACCACGAGGCAGAGGATGATGGGGACGTAGGAGAGCGTGGAGTAGTACCTGTATATCTGGGGACACGCGGCGCTGTCACACACCGGCCCGGGGACACCTCAGTGCCACCTCTCTGGGGCGCCAGGACGGCCACCTCGGGTCCCAGCAGCCTGCCCCATGGCGGGGCGCATACCTTGGGCGACTGGGGACAGTCCACCTTCTGCCAGATGTGCACCACGCAGTGGCACCAGGACAGCAGGCAGCCCACGAGGTAGCCGGCCCTGTGCCCCACCGTGGCGCAGGCAGCCAAGGGGCAGTAGAAGGCGGGGTAGTAGAGCAAAGCCAGGATCTTCCAGTACTCTGTAGAGCCGAGGGAACAAAGGCGACGCGTGCTCTCAGTAGGGACCAGAGTGAACAGCCCGCCCGGGGGCTCCCCCGCGGCGCTGGCCTTACCCCGGCTGTGCTGGGACGAGTTGGGGACGAGCGGCAGAGGGTCACGGTCCAGCACCAGGATGCACAGGGAGGAGAAGAGGATGCCAAACACCGCGGCCACCAGCCCGCGGTTGCCCTCCTCCTCCAGAAAGTTGGCCGGGCTGTGGGGCCGGGGGGCACAAAATGAGCCTGGCACCCCCTTGATGCACGCTGCAGCACCCCATCCCCGCCACCCTAGGGCTGGGTAGTCCCGTGCCAGCCGGGCAGGGTGACGGGGACGTGGGGACACGATACCTGAGCAGCCCAGGGACGCCGTTCCAGCAGCCCCGGCGGAGACGCCGGCGTTTCACCAGCAAGGACAAGCCCAGCAGCACGGCCAGCTGCCAGAAGAAGGGGAATGGTGGTTTTTTAGCTAAGCAGGAGGGCCCTTTAGAGGAAGATGCACGCAGACGGAGCTGGGGACAGCAAATGTGATGGGTTTTGGGGGTACTTACGGAGACGGGCGCCATGCAGGCGTGGTACAGCCTGGGGGAGATGGTGGGGTCACAGTCTGGGATTGCGCTGGGAAATGCGCTAGAGAGGGGAAAACAAGTTTAAAAAAATTATCTGGGGTTGTATTTTGTCCTGAAAGGGTAAAAAGTTAAGGTGTTGGGGTGATGCTCTGCACACACGGGGGTGGCAGCAGCAATTTAGGTCTGGTGTTTTGGAGAAGCAAAGCTCCAAAGAGCAGAGCCACGCAACCCCTGGTAGCTGGGGCTGAAGTCACCCTGGGGAGGTGGATTTAGGATTTTAGTACTGAGCTCAAAGAGACAGCATCCTGGAGCAGCCCGAGCTGCTTCTGCAGGGGCTGGATGAGCTCCGGTACCCCGTGCAGATGTCGGGGCCAAACAGGGACCAGCAGGGAGGCACGAAGCCCCCTGTAGGACTTTTTGAGCCCAGCATTATCGCCAGGCTGCCAGGGGAGGTTCCTGCGGCCAGGCTGCCGCCAGCAGAGCTCCGTGCCTTCTGCCTTCCTGCTCTAACAGCTGTCCTTGGGTAGACCAGACAGTTCCTGCTGTCCCAAAATATCCCAGCTCCCGAGGCCCAGGCGCCCACCCACAGCACTGAGGAGGGGAGGCAGCTCCAGCACAGTTCTGGTTTCCCCAGGACTTCAGAATTAAATCCTGAGCGTTTGGGGTCTGGACGGGATGCGCAGCCATCAGATGGAGAACCCCGGGCACTGCTTCCCTCCCCCTCACCACCACAGCTGGAAGAGGACACCCGAAGGGAAAAGCAAACACCCCGAAGGGTTTTTGGGGGGGTTCTTCCATCCAGTTTTACCCCCAGGGCTTCAACTGGGCTGGGCGAGGCAATCTCCAAGGGCGTTCCACAAAGCAGGAGATTAAGGACCTGGAACAACCCTTTGGATAGGGCTGGGCTGGTCCTGCCGGGTGCCCTCAGGATCAGATATCAGCCAGCTGAGCAGGGTAAAAGCCTCGCTCAGTCAACAGGGGACAATGGGTGCTGAGGGATGGCCTCGGGACACCCAGGATGGGGCCCTGCCACCCGCTTCAGGGCTCTCCTCAGGTAAATTGTGCCTCCAGGGCTCTCGGGAGGATGCTGAGCTGAAGAGGGGAGCGGGACAGATGGGGAGCAGGCTTTATGAAACCAGCACCCCTGCAGATTTACACCACCTACCAACCCCCAACCCCGTGCCCCGGGATGGCAGAACCACCCGCGCAATGAGTTGTGTCCGTCAGCAGCAGGTCTGGGGCTCGCCAGAGCAGGACGCTGGCACCCCCCCGGGATCGAGGGGATGCATGGCACTGCCACCGGCTGCTTACTTGTCCTGTGGCACGGCCGGCTCTGCAGTCTCGTAGATGTACCAGTCGGAAACCAGGTCGTCCCCAAAGCCATCGTCCAGCGGCGAGCCGTGCGCCCCCCCGGAGCCGTTGGCTGCCATTGACGTCCTCCTGCTGCACGGGGAAGGGGGAGGCAGAGGGAAAAAGGGTGGTTTTTTTTTAGGGGGGAGTCCCCTTGGAAATGCAGGGCTGGAGGCAAGGAGCCAAGAGATTTATCTCCTTGGGTCACTCCCACCCCATCCCCACCTTGGGCGGCCGCTGCCGCCCCGCTGATAGAATGGGAGCCTTTGTTTGGGTTGTTCCACAGCGGTTACGTGAAGGGCTGCGAAACCAGCACAAGGGTCAGGATTTGGAGGCACGGGCAAAGCAGGAGGGAGCTGGGCGAGCGGCCTGTGTCCCCGGCGTCCCTCCCTGCCACCAGGTTGGGGAGGTGCTGCCCCAGCAGGGAGCCTCAGCACCTTCCCCTCGCCGGAACGGGGCCGATCGTCCCCGCAGTGATAAAAGGGACGGCTTGTCCCAGTGCCAGTTCCAACAAGTTTTCCTTCCTCCTTCCCTCTGCTATTTTCTTTTTTCTTTTTTTTTTTCTCTTTCTCTTTTTTTTTGATTGCTTTGGCCCGGGCAGCCCCACACCCTCCCTTGCTGTCCCACAGCCCTGTTTTTCTGTTTTGCCTCATCCCCATCACAGACAGAGCCTTTCCCCCATCCCCGGCTGGCAGTGGGGACACCGAGGCACACCTAGAAGCTGCAGGAGTCACCCCGACCCCATTGCTGGGGCTGAGAGCTCCCTGAAGGAGATGAGGGACATCCCCACCTGCAAAGCATCGGTGGGACCGAGTGACACCCTCCTGAGAAGCCTTCCCTTCCTCCCCAAACCCTCATTCAGCGCTGCCCCCATGCACCAGCCCGGGGCCACCTTGGGGACATCCCCAAACCCCCCTGGGACCACTCCCCGACCCCTGCCTGGTGGCTCCGAGGGGATGGGGTGGATGACCCCACCAGGAGCTTTGCTCAGGGCTGCTGTTTGTACAGCTGGTGCTCGCTAAGGACCACGCTGGATGTGGCTCATCAGCTCCAAAGGGGTCCCAAAAACCAGGGAAAGGCAGGCGGCCCCATCTCCAGACACTTCATGGGCTGGTGCCCTGCGGGTGATGTCCTCTCCGGCTCCAGGCCCAGCAGGTGTAGGACCAGCCCTGGGTGAGCATCCTGCTCCCTGCTGGGGGCTCAGGACCCCAGGACCCCCCCTCGGCCAGCGGCTCCCCGGCCATCCCCTGGTTTTGTGTGCGCAGGGAAGCGGCTCTGACCTCACCTCCCAGGAATGTAGCACTCCGTAAAGTAGAAGGAGCCTGTAAAGCGCACACACACGCCTCTTACGAGACCCAAAAGCCCCTTTCCCCTCCTGCAGGGTCAGGGCAGCGGTCCCGCAGCCTCCAGATGTTATCCCACAGCCACCAGGGGACTGCCCATGCCCCTCTCACCTGCCTATGGGGTCACCTGGAGCAGGGTGACCGGGGGGGCTCGGAGAGCTCCCCAGCCTGGTGGCATCACCCCACAGGACCCCCTTCCACCCCATCCAGCAGACACCACCTCTCTGGTGCCCCCTGTCCCAAATTTTGGCTGCCTGAGGTCACATCGATAGCGACGGAGAGGAGCAGGAAGGGAAGCCACACGGCACCCGCCGGGCAAGCCACAGCCTGAATCCACGCAGGGCAGCAAAAATAAATCACAAAGCCGAGCTGGAAAGCTTCCTGGGTGTTGTGTCGGCCCCGTGTGCCAGCAAATCCTCACCAAGACCCAGGTGGCTCAAGAGCAGGCATCCCAGTCACCCCTCCGAGAGCTGCTCCATCTTCACGGGATGCTCTCCTGCAGCGAGGGGAAGCCCCCTCCTCGCCGCCCACCAGCCAGCAGTGTCCCCAAGGAGAGGCAGATGTCCCCGAGGAGAGGTAGGTGTGCCCAAGCCCCCCGGGTGCCCACCAGCCCCGCAGCCCCTCGGTGCCCCACGTTTCCCCGAAACCTGATCCTTTTGCTCCTCCGCCTCACCCCTGCTGGAACAGGCTGGGCCTTTGATCGCGGTGGCGTCGCCCGAGATTGATGGCTCCAATAAAGCTCCTTCATATTCCTCATTTCCCACCATCCATCACCCTCTGGGGAGCTTTTTCATCCCACCACTATGAATTAGACTTGGGGGGAGCCATAAGGGAATTCCCTCCCCCCCCTCCCCGTCCGCGTCCCCTCCTCCTATCCGGGATAATGGTGATGCCTTGTGTACAGCTTTTAATAAAAATGATAAAGATCTCGTTTCACAATTGTTCAGGGAGTGCTTGGGCCGGGGGAGAGCTGTTTAAGCGAGATCTCCTCTAATTCAATTGCCCGTTGGGAGCCGCGCTGGCAGCGGGGAGCCGTGCGTCCTCGCGGAGCGGTGGCCGCGGAGGACACGGGACGGGGACTGGCCTCGCTCGGTCCCGGAGGGGGATTTAGCAGCTGCCCGCGCTGCTCAGCCCGCCCAGAGCTGCTCCAAGACTTTAATCCTCTTTCTGGAAACGCGGCGCTTTCCCCAGCGCAAAGATCTCCCCGCTTGCCCAAACCTCAGCGCCGGGGAGGCCCCGGTGTCCCCAGCCCATCCGGATGGAGGCTGGAGCCTCCGGGAAGCCCCCACTCGCTCTCTCCATCTGAGAAACGGGGGGCTCGGGGCACCCCCAGAGGCAATGAGGACACCGGGCCCTGGGGCCGTGACCCCGTGCGGGAAGCCTGCGGGGATGCGGTGACCTCGCCGCACCTCAACCCACATCCTCAGCCTCCCGGGAAAGCCCCCGTCTGGGGCAGGGAGAGGTCGGAGGGGGTGAATCAGCATGGGGGGGGGGGAGTATGGAGGAGGATTTTCCATCCCAACTCTCGGCACAGAGATCCGGCAGAGCCTGCCACCTCCCAGACCCCAGCCTGCTGGCCTCCACCAGCCCAGCGAGCCCCCCGGCTCAGAGCAGCCCCTTCTGTCCTCAGGGACGTAAAGCCAATGAGCCAGAAGCACCTTTTTGCATTTTTAGAAGCTGTAGCAGCTTAAAAACAAAGCAAACCAGGCTTGGGGAGGCGTGGGGGGCTTGTTTTAGGCTGCCACCCCTCTTTGCTTCCAAAGCCTCGCGGTGCAGCAGGTGTGCTGCGCTCCACGAGCAAGGAGCCAGCGGAGGGGAGAAGCCACAAGTTCGCAGGGCTGGGCTAAAAACTGCCCACAAAGCACCCCCCGTGCTGCAAACCCTGCTGATGGGAGGGGGGGAAATATTCCCTGTAGGGTGCCTGGGGCTCCTGCACCCTCTCCAACAAGCTGTGCTGGAAGCTTGCACACACGACCGATACCGCCCCCCTCCCGCCACACACAAACTTTGCGAGAAGAATCAAAACGTGTCCAAAAAATGCCAATAATAAAAAAGTTACCTTCTCCCAACGGGCTGGAGGAAAAGCTCAGAGCATCAGCCCGGCGTGGACGCGGCCATGCGCGCCGCCAGGCAAAGTTCAGCGCACCGGCGGAGGCTGGCGGCGGCGGAGGCGCCGGGAACTTTATCCCCTCCATGGCGAGGAGGCCTTGGCTCGGGGCCACCCTGGGGTTTAGGAAATGAAAAGCAACCAACCCCGTGCTGCGCTCTCCCCTTTGATTGCCCAGGGAGGGAGGCAGCTGGAGCCAGCCCCGTCTTTTCCCCCACTCCTCGTCCCGGTCTCCGTGCTGCTCCCTCCGCCCCTGTGCTGACAGCTGGGGAGGGGGGGACGGGGACCGGAGAGGGGCTGGGTGGCCCCCGCGCCGTGCTGGCCCACCCAAGATGCTGCAAACATCTCGGCTGGCTCCAGGCTTCCTCCTGGGTACACCCAAGGGCCAGATCCTGGCCACGGAGCCCTTCGCTGGGGGAGGTTTTAAGGCAGCCGGGGTGGAAAGGGGAAGGCAGAGGCAGCCTGGGGACAGAAAGCCCCCCCCAGGTGCCACCAGCACGGGGTGGCCGTCCCAGAACTCCTGCTGGAAAGGGGCTTTCGCTGCATCCTTCCCCACCCCAACACTGCAAAGCAGGGGTCCCGACCCTCCCCATTTTGGGGGGGGAAAGAGCAGGATTTGGGGAAATCCCTTCCTCTCCTCCTGCCCGAGCTGTGCCTCCCACCTGCAGCAGGGCCCCCCAAGCCCACGAGACGGCAGGTTACAACACCTCCATAATCCCTGCACACACCCCCACGCTCCACATGTGACAGCGAGCAAAGGGAAAATTAATCAGCGTGGAAGATTTAGCTTAATTTTTAGCCAAAACCTCGTGGCAAGGCTGAACAGGGACCCACAGGTACCCCCCCTTCCTCCCTGGGGTTCTTAACTGAGCTGCAGCTAAAGGGAAAGGTGTCCGTGAGCCAACATCGTTCCCAGGAGATTTGGGGATCTCATATTTAGTTTTGGGGCACCAAGGAAGGGGACGTGATGCTGGAAACTTATCCGAAAGCAGGGCCACGGTCTGTTATCATGTGGTGCTGCTTTAGCATGGTGGAGGCTGCACGTGCACCTCTGGCACAGCTGGGAGCTGCTGCCTGAATAAACTGTGCCTGGGCTTAAATTACAGGAAAATTGCTCTTTGATGAGCCCGTCGTTAGAGGTGCCTCTAATGTGTTTGCACAAGGCTGGGAGGGAGGCGAAGCGGCTGCAATGTCTCATTGCCACGCACCAGAGCCTGGCAGGGTTTAAGGCAAGGCAAAGGAAAGCCGTGTCCCTGCCCCAGAGGGGTGCAGAGGTGAGCACCGCGGTGTCACTGCAGATCAGCAGCCTGGGAGGACTCCATTTTTGGGGGAAAGCAGCTGAGAGCAGCATCACACAGCACCCGACTCGGGGTGTCCCTGCGTGGCACCACCTTGCTCTCACCAGTCCCCCCCTGGCTTGGGTGGGAGCTGCCGGAGAACAGCCAAATCGCCAATTTCTGCCCATTTTCTTCCATTTCAAAGGAGCCCAAGAGAAGGGACAGGGGGGTGGAAGGATGCATGGGAACCCCAAATAAAAGCACACCAGCTCAGAAGCCCCAGTGGGGGATAAATGCAATTTTTGCTCCCGTAATTTCAGCCACCAATCCTCCAACACCCTTCGAGGCAGTGATGCTCCCAGCACAGAAGCCATCCAGCAGCCCTGAGCACCCCCGGGACACCAGTACCTCCTTCCTGACAGGCAGGGGCACCTTCACAGCACCCTTTTTCTCCTGTTTAATCCCAATTCGGTGCCTGAAAACCCCCATTCCTGCCCCATTTCCCTGTCCTCGCCCTGACCTCCCCAGGACGCTCCCTGCAGCGGGAGGTCAGAAGGAGGCGAGGTTGTGCTAGGGGTCAGCACCCCAAGCCCAGGCTCCAACCTGATTTATTTTTCCCCCTAAATGAGAAGAAAAAACCCAGAAATAGATTGGGGAGGGGCCCTCCAAAGGGACTCACGGAGGTGGTGGTGCTGGGACAGGCCCTGGCTCCATTTTAGGGACCCAAACAAGGGGCACCCGCAGGTGCCTGTGCTGCTTTCCCATACCAGAAAACGGCAAAATCCCATACCCCAGGGCCTCAGATGTGCTTTATCCCTCTGCCCCCGAGGATAACCTTGTTGTTTCAGGCTCGCACCAGCACCAAGGGGCTGGAATGCAGCTTTTTGTACGGAGCTGTCTCGGAGAAGGGCCATCTGCTAGCCCGGCCCCGGCTCGTGTTTCACTGGAAACATCCCCAAAGCTGTGGGAACGTGCTATGTTCAACAGCAACTGGGGAATGCGAAGTGACAGGGCAGGGGGCTCCCTGGCTGGATCAGACAGAGCCGTTCCAGCCCCCTGCTCACCCCGCCTTTAAGCTCAGCCCCAAAACATCCCCGGTGCCTCCGACCCCTGGATGCTCAGCTAGCCCCACAGCAGGTTGAGCAGGCAGGGGCTCAGCTCTGCTTGCACACTGGTCCTGCCCCATTTGGGGGCATCTTCCAGCCCCAGTGGGCCTTCTGCAGCCCGGCTGTGACCCCAAGCATCCCCCATGCTCATCCCACCCCCTTGGCTGGCCCAACCCCATGGGGAGCCACATCCAGGGGCACCCCCAGCTCAAATCTTGCCCTGTAAGTGAGCTGGAAAAGAGCTGCAGGTTTGGCCACACCAGGATGGGGGCTAGCAGGAGGAACCGGACTGTCCCACGGGGGCCAGCAAGACGTGGGAGCCGGAGGGCTCACGGTGGCCTCAGCACCAGCACCTCCTGCAGGCAGCGGGTCCCCATCCCCTCGTGGGGGGTCCCCAAGGCCGCGTGTGCACAGCTCTGCTGTGTCCCCAGCACCGCCCTGGAAGGCAGCCACCGCTCCTCCTGCAGTTACCTGGTTTCCCCGCAAACAAACCGAGCTCAGAGCCCTCTGTCCCCGCACGGGGCAGGAGAGGGGAGCTCCCAGCACCTCCCCGCAGCACCGAGGCTCAGCTCCAAGCTCAGGGATTTCTTTGCCTTTTTTCCCTGCCTTTGAAAGTTGCCGGCGGGGATGTGAAGCCTACACGTACCCAGGGCCCCCCCCAGGCACTTTCCAGCTGGAAAGAGGTGAGCAATGCCAGCACAGCCCGCTCGGCTCTCATACAATCCCCAGCGCTCGCTCCAGGTCTCTGCCGTCAGGAGGTGAGACCCCATGGCCGGGGAGCCCCGCATCCCCCCCAGCCTGCAGCACTGGGGGCTGAAGGCCGAGGAGAAGACCCTGGACTTCGAGTTCGAGGTGCTGGGGGCTCAATTCAACCGGCGGGGCCGCTACACCCTGCGGCTCAGCGTGGAGAACCCGCTGCTGCACGGCCCCACAGCCGGCGTCCTGCTGCGCATCGGCAGAGGCACCGCCATCCCCGCCAGCACCGGCACCACCGACACGGTGGAGCAGAGCCACCTGGACGAGGTGTGCTCCTTCCAGCGGAGGAAATTCACCTTCACACTGCCCAGAGGTGACGGCTGGGTGCCGCGGGGATGGGCTGATGGTGGAGGTGTCCCCCTGCTAAGCGAGGCTTGACCCCGCAGGTTTCTGCAAGAACGACAGGAACCACGACGTGCGGCTGCGCATCGAAGCCCTGCACTCGCCCAGGAGCCCAGCGAGGAAGAGGAAGGTGGGCGAAGCCTTCTTCGCCATCTACCCCCGGCCCCCCCAGCCTCGCACGAAGCCCCCAGCAGGGCGGGATGAGGACTGGTACCTGCTGCAGCACAGGTGGCGGCTCTGCTGCGGGTGGGCAGCGAGCAGCCGGCCATGCACTGCGGCCGCCTGGCCTTTGTGGCTGCCCTGCACGAGCACCGGCCGCCCGCCACGAGGTCCCCACCGCTGTCACCCCAAGGCCAGGAGAGGGGGCAGCAAGAGGGGGACGCAGCCCCAGCACCCACGTCCCCAGCCGTGCCGTCCCCTGAAGTCCCCCTCCGCACACCCGAGTCCGCTTACCACTCGCTGCCCACAGAGGTAGGGGAGCTGGGGGCAATTTGGGGACCTAGGGGGGGTTCCATGTGGGTGGGGTTTGGTGGCAGCCCCCCAAAAGCCTGTCCCCCAGTCCTGCAGCCAGGCAGTGCCCAGACCTACAGGAGCAGGCTCTTTAGGGGATATTGCCCAGCCCAGCCCACAGCACCCTATTTCCCACAGTGCTGAGCATCTCCTGCCCAGCACAAAACCCACAGCAGGGCTCTCACCTCCAGCACAGCCCCATAACCCACCCCAAATCCCCCTTACCTGCCTGGGCAGTCCCCCAGGCAGTCCCCCCAGCAGCCCCCATGGAAGCAGCACCCTACCCCTGCCCTGCCCTGCTCTTTTTAAGGTCTGCGAGCACCTGGTCCCCATTAGATGCAGCTGGGGGCTCCAGGAAAGCTTGTGAATAGGAGGAATTTATTGCATAAAGTTATTTTTTTATCACTATTATTTTTTATAAGCTAGTTTGGGCCATGGGGAGGCACGGGGATAATCTGCTAATGTGAAAGTGTTGGCTCTGGGGTGACCGTGGCTGTTCCTAGAGCTTTTTAACATCTAGCTAAAGCTTTGCTCCTGAAGGATGAGGTCCTGAGCCCACGGGTTAGATGGGGGGACACAAGGTGGGGGTGCTGCTCCCCTCCCAACCCCACTCCTCATCCACAGATGCCGTTGGCTGACCCTGCGCTCAGCTCCTCCCCGGAGCTCCCGGGTGACTCAGCAGGCGAGCATCCCTCCTCCTCCTCCTCTTCCTCCTCCTCTTCCTCGGTGCCACCGCTCAGCTGCAGCAGTTTCCGCCTCTCCTCGCCAGGATCCAGCCCGGATCCGACCCCGTGGGCAGCGCAGGTTAGTGCAGGAGCCGGAGGAGATGCCGTCCTGGTGCCTGCGGTGACCTGGTGGGGTGGGGACCTGGGGCTGTGGGCACTTTGGACACCTTCTGGTCACCGAGAGCTTCCTAGCAGAGCTTTGCGTGCTCGTGCATCCCTGGGTGTCCCGTCCCCAGCTCCACTCGTGGGCACGAGGACCCCAGCCTCAGCATGGGGATGGGAGGACGGGGCACCAAACTTGACGTTTTTAGCAAGAAGACGCAGCCCCGTGGGCTGGTGTCACCCGGGCACGGTGTCACCTGGGCACCGAAGCCCTTCAAACTACCAGCTGCTGGC